TTATTTGAAGGGCTTAAACAGTTTTGCTCACTACTTGTAATTACATCAGAGAGTGCTGTCTCTAAATTGAGTAGTTTAGATGATTAACACTTAATGAATCTGCAGTTGAGAAGAGTAAAGTGTTCGTTTTTGTATTATCTTTTTGTCAATTTTTAGGCTCCCAAGTTCAGCTCCTTAGTCGAGGAAGCATCATACTCCAAGAGTCAATCTTGCTCATCATCCTACATTGACAACTCTGAGACAACCAAACTGGAGCAACTTCCAGATCTTGTGAATCCTAAGTTGTATAATATTGATGCAAACGGTGCGCAGCTTGAGCTTATGTCGAGAGGGAAGAACCCATATGCTGAGGCCCAACCACAATTTTTCTTCCCTCAGATCCCACAGCCCCAACCATACCTCACATTATCTCTGGAAAGCCAAGACCTTTTGGCTAAATTTGAGGACCCTTACTTTTCACAAGTGTTTGCACCGATGGATGTTCCTGAACTAGGGAGTGGACATGTTGGGCAGCCATTTCTTGAACCAGTGAGAAGTAGCGGATTTGGTGCAAGGGAAGAAACTGACAACCCCGTCACTCCAGATACCTTCTTTGATGACTTCCCTGCTGACATGTTTGATCATATGGAGCCTCTTCCAAGCCCATCAGAGTAATTCAGAGACAAGAAGGTTGCTTGAGTGTTAACTTTTAACTAGTTTTTCCAATGTTGACTTACCCCTTGTATTTTATTCCTGTTTCTAGGTTTAGGATGCTTTTCTTTTTCTTAAGGGATGAATACTGTTACTGTAAAGACTCTTTTGAGCAACAAATAGATGCTTCCCACTTCTTATAAGCGGTGCTAATTTGTTGGGCAGACTGAAGGACAGATCCACAACAAGACTAAAACTTTCACATCAACAGCATCAATATGTCACATTATCTAATGAAAAAATGGGCATTGGTTCATCACATTCATTTTCTCAATCTGCATTGTTATCAAAAAACACGGAAAGGAAAAGGCAGTTTCATGAATTAAAATTGATTATTTCTTCAATCAATGAAATCAAGAATTGATACAAAAGTTATAATGTAAACAAAGCTGACACATCGAGGAAGGCTGAGATATGCTTGAGATGAAACTGTCGTGCCAAAGGTTATACATTGCCATTCATGGAGTCATCATTCATCATGGTTTAAGGCAAAGAATCACTATGGCATTACCTTCTAAACATTATGTCAAGTTGCTTGTTGGATAGTAAGTAACACCAGTCTTGCCACTTCGTGTAAGCACCTCAAACTTTCCAGCAGCAAGTGGCTCGTATTTGCAAGAGATTGGTCTTCTTAGTTCTGAGTAAGCACAATAATCTACTTCAACGACAATTGTGTCCTCCAAAAATCCAGAAACCGAAACCCCAACTCCTTCCCCTGCATATGAAATGCACAGCTCAATGACCACTCCAAGTCTTTGGTAGTACTTCAAATAGAAATAAAAATGACATTGTTTAGACTCAGAGACCAGATATCCTTCAGCATGACATTGCAAATTGGAAGCCGCTGGAAAAGATGACAAATGGTCACTACAATTCTTGTCTGAAATTGAAGAATGAAGCTTACCATGTGTCACTAATAGCAAGTTTTCTGAGGGGTATTGGTCCGCGAGTGCCTTAATGATTTGTTCATATCTAGTCCTCGTACCAGTCACCGTCTCTTCCCATTGCGGCAACTGTAGATTTTGAGACAAAGAACCCAAATCAGCCATGGAAAACTGCATCCAGCTAAGCTGACAAAAATCTAAATTGTAAAGGAAATAGATCAAACACATTGCAAACACATTACCTCTTTATAAACTCTTTCCATGGTAGGATCCACTGTGCCACTCGGCAGCATAGCCTCAAGCTGTGGCACATCGAAACGAAAGATTCCATCTTTGGGCGCTACATCAAGCCTAATTGCTTCTCTACTTAACATCTCACACAATCCATACTCGATCGAAACCTGGAAAAATACAATAAAATGGGCTCAAGCATTTGAACAACAAACATTGAAAAAAAGAAAAAAGTAAATTGCTTTTCAACGTATAGTGATCTGACTAACCTTGACTTTTGATGGGTCGATAGAGGTAACGTCGCAGGATGACTTGGCATTGGGATCGTCGTCGACTGAACAAAGGGCAGCGACAGCCTCGGAGGCGGTCTGGACGCAGCGGAGGAAGGGGGAGACGAAGACTCGGTCGATCGGGAATCCTAGGTGGGCACGAAGCGCACGACCAGTACGGAAAGCTCTGACCAAGCCATCATGTGTAAGCGGTGGGTCCCATGGCCTCTCCGCCGTCACTACCCACTTGTGGTCGAAGTTGTCCATACGGTCCCCGTGCCTCATCACCACCACGTTCTGGTAACACGTTTTTGTCTCCGAGGAATCCATCGCTGTAGCTTTAAGGATTAAACTTTCCGGAACGAATCAAAGGTTGTCTGTCTCTGGTTCACACGAGTGTGGTTTTGAGTTCGGATAGAAACTATAAAACGGTTGGGTAATCTCGCTGCCATTTGTTACCCGCCTTTCTCTCCTGCTTATAGAGTCATATATTTTATTAATAAAATAAATACTTTAACATATACTCCTACAATTTAAAATTTTTCAATTTAAATTTATGAAGTATACAATTTTTGCAATTAAAAAGAATGACCTTTATCATTGTTATTCAAAAGAAATATGGTCCACGAAAAAAAAATCCATCTCTTTTCATTCATTTAAGTTTTTAGATGATCGGATGATTAAAAAAACTATGTAAAGTATTTCAATTCAAACAAACATAAAAAGTTAAAAAGGTTATAATCATAAATATCATTCGTCTTATCAAATTAGTTTTTTTTGAAAGGATAATGATTAATGATAAAGTGACGTTAGAATTAACGAAAAATAAAATGATTGATAACGACGAGAACGACAAGAACGTTATAAGATTAAATAAAAAATATTATGTTACGTTTTAAAATTTATATTTTAATTTTTATAAAAATAAAAAAATAAAAGAAATATATGTACAAAAAAAATTTTCATTTGCTTTGCGCAATTATGGTTGCGTGAGAGCATAGTTGCGTGTAATGTTTTGGTCTAAATCAAACAAATACTTGTCAAACCCAATTTCATTATTCTTTGTGTTAACCATGGACTTTTCATGAACCTTTCAAGTTTTCTTCGCAAGGTATTACTTTCTGCCGTGAGGTGGATGACACGAGAAAGCATTCAGAAAAAAAAAAATATTTACTACCACTTTCAAGGTTATTTCCTGGAAATTGGTTGTAATTCTTGGAAAAGTTTATGTTCCAACAGAACCATCCATGACCATGAGGATGAAGAAGTTCAGGCTGTGGCAGACAACAGCCCACCACAGATCTCAATTCTGGGCTGTGAAAATAGGTAGCAAGCCCTCGGTTGGACTTACTGATTTTCACAGGCCCATTGAAACAGTGCTGACACCCCCATTCAAACCTTCGGAGCTCAGAAATCTGAATATTGCATAACAAAGCTTGAGCACAAAGATCAAATCATACAATACCCAAAGAAAGGCTTGATTTTATTATTGATAATAATTGTATTATTTATATCAGCGCATCATACATGTAGAGTTTCAGATATAGCAAATTAAGTATTTTATTTATTATTCCATTTAAAAGAACGGGTCTTTTCGGATTCAAATTTCTTACACCAGAGCGGCTTGCCATCAATATTGAACATGCATTGCTTCGTCCAAAAAGCAGTCATCATTAATGGAATACTAGCTTCCTTGAAAACAATCTTCCCGAACAACGGTATCTGAATTTTATTCCACGGAGTTGGCCAATGCACATATACCCTTTCCACACATTCCCAATATGTGCTGCACACAATGAACATATAATCATTCTCAATTATCAACAGAAACAAAAAAAATTTTAAAAAAATAAACAACAAGATTTTCTTTTTTTGATTATTTCTATTTATTTTGATAGTTTGAGGGTATGAGAATTAGAGTGGTGGAAGCTTGTGAGTGTTTGAAGTCACATTTAAAATGATCGTATGTACACTTACGAGTTGAAGAATTTGACAATTTCCATCTCTGGTATAGGGCGTCCGTACGAGAATGTTAGGAACAAGGACCGATCTGATTCAGGAAGGGGATAATACTCCTTAGCATTATGATTTAGTTTAAATGGAACCGGTTTTGCATTTGGCACGGCAGTCACCCTATTTTCCACGGTAGTAGGCTGGGCAGGTTGATGATCAGAGCATTCGGCATGATAATTCACCGAGCCACGTCCACGGCCACGGCCACGGCCACGTCCACGTCCACGTTGACAGCCACGGCCACCACCTGGCGGCACTCTTTCGCCCGAATACCCAGTAATCCTTGGTTCCTCCATGGGATTTTCATGGAAAAATGAGGAGGATGACTCGTAATTCTGTGTGTTTTCATACTCGACATAGGGAGTGAAAGTGGGGATGAGTATGGGGATATATACTGCAATCCAAGTGAAGAACATTGCGATGGTTCAGGAATGTTGGCTTTGCAAAGAAAAGGTAGTATATGTTCGAGAGAGGGGGTGAGTATGGGGATATATATTGCAAACAAAGTGAGGAGCATTGCGATGGTTTAGGAATGTTGGCTTTACAAGGAAAGGTAGTATATGTCGAGAGAGGCTGTTTCTTGAGCAGGCGCAACGTTTGCAAATAAACAACTTTGCTGCTCTTCTTATTGCTTCATACCCTCCCAAGAATTTGCCATCTCTCATTTTTAGAGTTCTGGCTTGTACTCTTTTGACCATTTTATCAACATAATTTCTATAATTTGAGCCATTTGATTCAATGGATTGAGACATATGTAAAAGTCAAATTCACAAACTATAGAATTGAACTTGAAAAGAATCAGAAAATATGGATAGTATCATTCCTTTTAAAGTAAATTGAGCAAATTTAAGTATGTCCACTTCGTACCGACTTGGCGATGATAATATCTTACTTCGTTTAGAGTATATTCATAATGATAATTTAACTAATGATGAGTCATGTATTGGTGTCAATTTCTATATTAATATTATTTTTATAAGTTAATATATACAATTTAAATATGTATTCCAGCTCGTAACGAATTGTAAAAGATGATTTTATTTTCAAAAATTAACTAACCAAAGAAGCTATAACATGATTATTCAATCTTGCGTACTGCAAACAATTAAACATTTTCATTGTTCGTCATGATTTAGAGCAGGGTGTCCAGAACATGAAACAAATTCAGACATTCGATAGTATTGTTAACACCAGATTGAATCTGTTTATGAGAAACGCTTGACTTTAGAAACGAGGGCAATTTCTGCTTCAACAATCAGACTATCATAGACAACGTAACCCTTGGATGCATCGTGGAGAAGCTTCAGCGCTATGAATTGTGGATAACCCCAGTTTACACTTGTTGCACTGAACCAACGTTCGACTGCAAGTGATGAAAACAGAAATGGAAAATCAAGAACATCAGCAGACAACAAACAAAGCTGATATCAGTAACACTTAATTGGCCAGGTTTTCTTGTTTACCTGTGAATTCCATGTGATTATCATTGATTTGGTTCCTTACCCGTAGCTTGTATTCTGCATATACTTTCCGCTTAGGGGGAAGCTTCTCAGCCTCGACTAACTCTAGGAAGACTGAGAGTGCTTTGCCCTTAAATTTCACGTTTCCCTTGGGATAAACTGTCAATTTCCTGTAAGGCCAAAAGGCACAAGCAGCAGCAGCTATCTGTGATTAGCAATTTCCGATTTAATTTGGGTAACAATACGAAAATGAAGTGGCAAAATTCAATTAGAAAGTACCATTTTGAATCCCCAATGGTATGAACGGAAGATTCATAATACTTCTTGTCTAATTTCGAGAAATTGTCCATCTTGAAAGTTATGGTATTGTCCTCAGGCTCCTTGATTATGGAAAGACACTCCCATTTACAATTGCGTTCCATTAGAAAAACCTCTGCCCCAAATATGCAACAATCACCAATAAGGTAACCATTGGAAGTGTCATTAAATGACTCGAGGGAGATTAATTGGGCGAAGCCCCATTCAGTCTTCAACCAATGAAATCTCTTGACTGCCCCATCAGCATCTGTCAAATTTAATTGTCAGCATATTAACAAATGGTCTGCAATTATCACGAAAAAAGGATGTGAAATTAAAAGAAACGAAGGACAAATAACCTGAAGCTGGTACATAGTATACCTTCAATGGTTAAGTACTTGCCCCGAATCTGGTCAAGCATGAATAACCTGAAGCTGACATTGACTTCCCAAGTATGGGGTAAATTTTCTGTGTGGTCGATTACCAAGTAAAGGGAGATGAAGCCACTTCCATTGCTTTTATTGTCTCCGTTTGGGTAGAGTGACAATCTCCTAAAGGAAAACCAATTTAATTTAAAGAAAGGAAAGTTCAAAGAAAAGTGATTAATGAAAAGAAAACACTAACCATTTGTGACCCGCAGCTTCAAATACATCAGATTCATACTTATCAACCCCTGTTTTGGCCAACAAAGAGAACGATTCTACTTTAAATAAGTAGTGAGCAGGAGGGAAATCTCTTGTAGTTCGTCTGATTCCTACAAACATAGCCAGAGAAAATGGCTAGCATCCTTGCTTTCAAGTCGACTAATATAATAATTAGAAAGGACAATTCCAAGGAGAAGGAAGCGAACTTACCAAGTTTTTTGGAGTTGCCGTCCATGAAAACCACTATAAAAATTTTTATACTTTTGCTTTTTACTTATTCTTGTATTTTTCAAATATATATAGAAAGATAAAGGAATCAAATTTGCAGAAATATATTTATTTTCGTGGGGAGGGGGTTTAATAAGCATTGTCCTAGAATTTGCTTGTCATGCATGCAAAACTCGGAAGACCTCTCGGGTTTAACATCCTTATCTTGTAAACTATGAACACCTTTGGAATCTCTGCACCTTGAGGTTTCAAGCTTTACAAGTTTATGCTTACCTTGAGATACTTACAAGACCTCCAATCTGACTACTTAGGTAGAATTACAGGGGACTTCCGATCTATCCATTTGAAATTATTGCTCGAAGAGATTAAATTGGAGAGGTTAAATTTCTACTCATAATAGTTGATAATGAAAAAGTTGGATGCCTCTGTGACGGAAATGATATCGAAGACTATTGACTTGAGAGACTTTGATTTTGCGAGTCTTGTGCTTCTTCTAAGCAATTACTATATTGATGGAAAGAGCAATGTCCTTAATTTTGATTATAAAGCCTAATTAATGCTAAAAATTTCACAATCACATCAGATCGAACATGTAAGACCAAGAAAAACATGAGTAGCCGTGGTGCTTATTCAAACCTAAAATTCTAGGTAACAGCAACTGAATTTTATCTAGCTACGGAAAGCTGGATTGTTGCAACACCTCTGTTTTAAGTGCATTGAGATAAATATATAGATTTCCTACCGCGTGGAGGAAGTGAGGTATCAAACAGAATGGTGTAAATCTATGTAGTTGTTGTAAACATTTATTATCCTTGTCCATCGGGGCCAAACTTCTCCAATGAGAAAACACGCAGTCAGTGGGCCTGATGATGATTCTAGGAATGCTTCCTCAGTTGGACCCACGCGGCTATAATTTCAATAAACTTTAAAGTTTATTATAATCAATTAGGTATAATTATAAAGATCTCAAGCACTTTTTTTTTTTTGAAAAGCAGATGTTTTTCATCCATCACTAGTAATGCCATGGTAAGTCTCTAGCCTAACAAGCACAGGACTATGATGTCAAGCAATCTTATGTTGTAGTATGAACAAAATTAAAGTTATTATCATTAATTATAAGTAATTTTAATATTTATTTTAATCAATACGTAAAGTTACATGTGCAACACATGTACATGGGTTTTCTCCATTTAATATGAATACACCACATATTTAATCTTCAAAAAAAAAAATTGACTGAAAAGATCTCAGAGACTATTGACTTGAGAGACTTTGATCTCTTGCTGAGTCTTGTGCTTCTTCTAATCAATCACTATATCGAAATTGGTCTGTGTTTAGCGATTTGGTTTCTTTTTGGGTTTGTTGTGTGATCGGGTGATGTTCCTTGCGTTTGATTAGGAGGATTCATCACCTGGGATGAGTTCTGAAGTAACCATGTGGTACAGGTTTAGGTAGTTAGGATTGTGCTGGTCTTTTGTTGTTTTGAGTTTGATGGCGAGCTTTTGTTTTCTGTTTGTTCTGGTAGCTTTTTGGTGTTCAGTGGCAAGCTGTGTATATTTTTTCTGATCTTATCTCATGCCAGTCTCTTTGTGCCAGGTAAAGTCTTCCGCAGGTTAGAGACTTGGTATGGCATACTGAATTTATGAAGTTTACCATTTCTCACAATTTTCCCTAAGATTAATTACTTTTCAAAAAAATTACTATATTGAAATCTATGGAGTTATCTTGGAAAGAGACCCTAGAATTTTCCCTTCCATAATACATGGAAAGAGACCTTTAGACTCGTAAGTAATCAGTTATCTTGCTTTCTGAAGACCAGAAACAGGAAAAATAACCAAAATATGTGCAAAATTTATTATCCTTGTCCATCAGGGCAAAACTTCTCCAGTGTGAAAGTAAGCAGTCAATGGGGCGTTCCACAAGTATTTCGTCTACTTATTCCTGATGATGATTCTAGGACTGCTTCCTCTGTTGGACCCATGCGGCTACTGCTCCCTGGAAGTATGGTTGCTACTTGCTAGACAACGGGTCGTTGAGTCACAGAAAGAAACTAATCTATATGGCAAAAGCTGATCCCATGTGAAAGAGGTTCTCACGGTTGATTTCCGGACCCAGATGGTGAACTTGAAGAAAAATTAGGCAAAAAGGGGAATGGACCACACCATGAATTTTTTGTGTAAGAATCGAAATTCCACTCTCTGTATCTCTATTCACAGCCATCCCTCTTCTCTTTTGGAAGACTTTGACTGCCGTAATAAAGCTCTTTAAATTTCGGCTCTCTGGGAATTAACATGCAACAACAAGAACTTGCCTTATATGATGAACTTAAACATGAGCTTAGCTATACAACTCTCATAATGGTGATGGTCTGGAGTACTACCGTCCTTCTTTCCTAAGCTGCATCTCAAGTTGCCGCAACTACCTCAGCAACTACTTTGTCACTGGAACGAGAAGCGAAGGCTCTGCTCGAGAGTGGTTGGTGGAGTAGCTACAGCAACGACACTTTGCAACGTTGCAACTGGCCAGGTATCTCATGCAATGATGCTGGAAGCGTCATCAATATTTACCCACTTTCTGACGTTTTCAAGGTTGGTGATAAATTCAAGAATATCGACTTCTCTTGCTTTCCAAATCTTTTTTCTCTACATCCTAATTAGTGGTCAAAGGTTCCATCCCCGAGGAAATTGAAAATTTGAAAGTACTGACTTCATTGGATCTCTCTTAAAACAAGTTGAGTGGACCAATTCGGCCTCAAATTGGTAATTCTTCCAATTTGGAAGAGTTGAACTTAAGCAATAACAATTTACAGGGTCTCATTCCTGATCAAATCAGCAGTTTTTCATTGCTAGGCTGTGTAGATCTCAGAAACAATGATTTCTCAGGTGTTATTCCATATAATCTTCTTAATGCAAGGTGTAATTACTTAAATTTAAGCTGCTGTAAATAGATGCTATGGTATTTGGTGGCAACAAAACTTTAGCACCCTACTCATGTTCTTCAATGGAGAAGAGTCACAATCTCCCAATACTTCTAGCTGTGATCGTAATCATTGATTTCTTTCTTTTCGGGTGTTTATTATTATTATTATTATTATTGTGGAAGTATAAGGTCAAGGTCAACCCAACTAGTGTACTGCAAACCACTGAAAATGGAGACCTGTTCTCGATATGGAACTACGATGGCAAGATTGCTTATGAAGACATCATAGCAGCAACAAATGATTTTGACGTTCGATACTGCATTGGAACTGGTGGTTATGGAAGTGTCTACAGAGCACAGCTACCCAGTGGCAGAGTAGTTGCCTTGAAGAAGCTTCATCGTCTTGAAGCTGAGGAACCGGCTTTCGATAGGAGTTTTAGAAACGAAATAAAATTCTTTAACAGCAGTTCGACATCGAAACATTGTCAAGTTACATGGGTACTGTCTTCACAAACGTTGCATGTTTTTGATTTACGAATACATGGAAAGGGGAAGCTTGTTTTTCATTCTATGTGATGATGTTCAAGCTGTGGAATTGGATTGGACAAAAAGAGTGAACGTTATCAAGAGCACGGCTTACGCTTTATCTTACTTGCATTTTGAGTGCACGTCAATAATAGTTCACCGAGACATTTCAAGTAACAACATCCTGTTAAACTCGGACTTGGAGGCTTTTGTCTCTGACTTTGGGACTGCTAGAATCATAGATCCTGATTCTTCAAATCAAACAGGGCTTGTTGGCACTTATGGCTATGTAGCTCCAGGTGATGCTATTCTCCACCGCTTCATTTACTAATTTGCTTTACTCCCCACTTGTTTACTTTTTGTAGTTAATTTGCGGATGAAGTCGGTTTCCATTGTTAAATTTTTGTATCATATGACTAATGATTGTTAGATACTCTAATCGTTGCACAATCTCAATCAGATTCATTTAAACCAAATGCTCGAAGCTATTACTACAAATTCAATATGCTAGAATTTGTTTATAGGCAAAAATCAGGGAAAAGAATTTATAGGAGTCAGGATTTGGGATTCATAATAAAAAAGGTCATAAATTATTACTATTATTTTTTAATATTTTTTAATGTGCATTGTTTTGTTTATGCAGAACTTGCCTACACAATGGTTGTAACTGAAAAATGTGATGTTTATAGTTTTGGAGTTTTGGCATTGGAAACGTTGATCGGAAAGCATCCAGCAGAAATTTTGTCTTTGTTGTCAGCACCATCTTCTTTGCAAAATATAATGTTACTTGATGTGTTAGATCCACGTCTGTCACCTCCAACATGCCAGCTGGTCGCTCAGAATATTGTTCATGTAGCTACCATAGCATTCGCATGTCTACAAGCTGATCCAAAATTACGGCCAACAATGAAACTTGTCTCGCAAATGTTTGTTTCTTGTCAAAGATCATTAAGGAACCCTCTCTGAACAATCTCTTTGCTGCAACTTGTGAACTGTGGAATGCATATGGAAGGATCATCTGAAGCTCCACAATGTTAGTGCCATTATTCGGGCAAGTGTCTTGTTGTTTTCATAAACTGATTGATAGGATGCATTTATGGTGTCATCTCTTACTTTTTTTTTTTTTTAATTTCCTCTTTCCCGTTCTCTATGTGATTAATTCTCCAATTTGGTGAAATGTGTTCTGTTTTCCATGTGGAAGAGCAGTCTATCATGTTAAGTTACTTTTCATTCTGCTGAAATCACTCCATTCCTTAAACAAGTGCTCGATGTAGCTATTCCTTATTCAGATTATATTTCAGAACAAGGCTCGATGTTTAAAACTAATTCTGATGAGTGAAATTCAAGTCCAATAATGTAACAGAGCTTTCTTGTCAAACGAAACAGAGTGTCAAGTATCAAATTAACAACCAATGATCATTGGAACAATGAAAGAAAGAAAGCAAAGATGAAATAAAAATAATGGAGATGTGGGGTTTCACCTATCTGGTCAAGCACAAATAACTTAAAAAGTCCAAAATTAACTTCCCAGGTCAGGGGTAAATTTTCTGTATCTTCGAGTTCTCAAGGAAAGGGAGATGAAGTTATCTCCATTGTTGTTCTTCGTCTCCTGTTAACACCAATATTTTTCTTTTGAAAAGCGATTTATTGACCTCTTCAACCATGGTGCCATTCCAAGTCTCTTCCAATTAGAAAGAAAAAGACTTTCCATGGCATCAGCACTTGGTTTGGGCAGTGAAGAACTGTACAATTATCAAAAGATTTACCACAAAATTCTACATGCGGTTAGAGTCTTAAACCCTTCAAACAATCCAAAATAAACAGCCCTCGCATTGCCTCGAAAACAAAAAGAGGCAAAGAAACAAGGCCACTAGGCGGAGAGACACAACACAGCAATTTGGAAGAACATCCGAGGCTTTTTGTCCAACAACTCATCAGACACAAACCCTCCTATTACCGAAAACTACCAACACAAGGAGTTGAGGAAACCCAACTAGCATCAAAATCGCATGATCACGTCTGCAAACGAAGTCACAGCATCCCTAGGAAAGGAGAAAAATCGAAGAAGATCCAGAGAACTGGAGGAAAAAAACCACTCCACCCGGCCGACATCCAGAGCAGCAAGCAACACTCAAGCCATAAGAAACACCAGTAGAATTATGCTTGAATGGTCATCTTTTTTTACATGATTTACCAAAATCTCTTTGACTAACTCTATATGTCCTAATCAAAACATGTTCTTATGCCTTCCTGTAACAGGTTTCCTATGATATGTTTTTCATGCAAAACTCGGAAGATCTCTCTGGGTTTATTAACATCCTTATCTTGTAAACTAGGAACACCTTTAGAATCTGATCTCCACCTTGGGTTTCAAGGTTTACATGCTTATGCTTACCTTGAGAAACTTACATGACCTCCACAATTAGTCTACTTCCGTAGAATTACAAAGAACTTTCAAATTATAATTTAACTCTTAAATTAAAATTGATGCCCATATTATTAAAACTAAACAAAAAAAAGTCAAAATGCACCTTTATGAATTTCTCCAAATTTAAAACTTCGCTCTCACAGTAGGGGAAAAAGGATACATTCTTCAAGATAATTAATTAGGATTTGAAGAAATTTGCCTTGACGAATGTCGATCCCACTTATTTTTATCAAAGCTGATTCTTCACTTTTACTTTGAACTCTGCATATTCTCTCCGGTTAAATAAAAAAAATATAATATTATCAAAATCGAGAAAGATAAAAAATTGTTTTCCTTTCTAAGTTGACAATCTTTGAGATAAAAGAAGTAAATTGCTGGATTCAGAAGCCAAAAGGGTATAAACAAAAAAAATACCAAAAGGTATTATATTTTATAACTGTTAATTAATTTAGCAAATAAAATTACCTACTAGAGCATATATATATATATATATATAATTTATAAATAATTACCGAAAGAATACCTACCAAGCTGTCCCTTATACAGTGAAAGTAATAGTAGTCCTTATCTAAGATCGAAAATTTTTCGATTTTCTGAGGATGAGTATTCTATCTTAATTTTTTTTAATGAGATAATTTTATTTGAAATCATATAAAATTTATTATAATCATTTAGGTATAATTATAACGTTGTCAAACAATCTTATGATGTAATATAAACTAAAATATTACATGGAAGGAGACCCTTAGAGTCGTAAGTAATCAGTTCTTTTGCTTTCTGAAGACCAGAAACAGGGAAAATAACCAAAATACACGCAAACTTCATTATCCATGTCCATCAGGGCAGAGCTTCTCCACTGTGAAAATAAGCAGTCAATGGGCGTGTTAGACAAGTATCTCCTCTACTTATTCCCGATAATGATTCTAGGAATGCTTCCTTTGTTGGACCCACGCGGCTACTGCTTCCTGGAAGTATGGTTGCTACTTGCTAGAAACTGCGTCGTTGAGTCAGAGAAAGCAACTAATCCCGTGTGGAAGACGATCTCACGGTTGAGCAAAAAATTTTGGACCCAGATCGTGAACTTGAAGAAAAAATAGGCAAAAAGAAGTCCCACACCATGAATTTTGGACCCAGATCGTGAACTTGAAGAAAAGATAGGCAAAAAGAAGTCCCACACCATGAATTTTTTTTGGACTCTTCTGTATCTCTATTCATAGTCACCACTCTTCACTTTTAGAAGACCTTGACTCCGGAAGTAAACGTCTTTAAATTTCGGTGCTCTGGGAATTAACCTGCAACAAACAAGAACTTGCCATGTATGATGAACTTAAACATGAGCTTAACTTTTACAGCTTCTGTAATGGTGATGCTATGGAGTACTACCGTCCTTTCTTCCTATGTTGCATCTCAAGTTGCCGCAACTACCTCAGCAACAACTTTGTCGCTGGAACGGGAAGCGAAGGCTCTACTCGAAAGTGGTTGGTGGAGTAACTACAGCAACGACACTTTGCGACGTTGCAACTGGACAGGCATCTCATGCAATGATGCTGGTAGCGTCACCAAAATTTACCCACCTTCTGCCAGTATTAAGGTTGGTGATAAATTTAAGAATATGGACTTCTCTTGCTTTCTGAACCTTGCTTTTCTCAGTCTCGGTGGTCATGAACTCAATGGGACGACGGAGGATTTTGTGTTCAATATAGGCAACCTGTCAACAATAACGCACCTCGACTTGTCCAACAATTCTTTATATGGTCGGTTATCTCCTCGGCTTGGTAATCTCACCCAGTTAGAGTTTCTTGATTTTTCATATAACCAATATATTGCGGGTTCTATTCCTTCGGAATTTGGGAATTTGAAAAATCTTGCCATTTTAAATTTGACTGGGAACCGACTTCAAAAACCGTTTCCTTCGTCTTTTTATCTTTTGACCCACCTTACCCATCTGCATATGAGCTCAAATCAACTCCTTGGTTCCATCCCCCTAAAATTAGGGAATTTAAAGAGTCTAATGACTCTGGATTTGTCTAATAACTTTCTTGATGGTTCCATTCCTTCCACTCTTTTTCAATTATCCAATTTGGTCACCATCGATCTATCATACAACAAACTTGTTGGTCAATTAACCAATTTGAACCGTTTAACGAAATTGGAAAAATTGCTTCTTGGCTTCAACAGAATCAATGGTTCTATCCCTTCAAAAATTGGAGATTTGAAAACTTTGCTTGCTTTATCCATTCACTCAAATTTTTTAGAAGGTTCTATACCCGAGGAAATTGGAAATTTGAAAGCACTAGTTTCATTGGACCTCTCTCAAAACCAGTTGAGTGGACCTATTCCACCTCAAATTGGTAATTGCTTCAATTTAGAAGAGTTGAACTTAAGCAACAACAATTTACAAGGTCTCATTCCCAATCAAATCCGAAAACTTTCGTTGCTAGACCAAGTAGATCTTAGAAACAATGATTTCTCAAGTGTTGTTCCATATAATCTTTATGGGACAAAATATCATTACGTAAATTCCAGCTTTTATAAAAAACATGATGAGGTCTACGGTGGCAACAAAAATTTAACGTCCTACTCCTGTTCTCCATTGAAGAAGAATTGCAATCTCCCAATATCTCTACCTATTACCATATTCGTTGCCTTTTTTCTTTTCGGGTGTTTATTACAATTGTTATTGTGGAGGTATAAGGTCAAGGTCAATCCAACTAGCGTACTACAAGCCACTAAGAATGGAGGGTGTTTATTCCAATTATTATTGTGGAGGTATAAGGTCAAGGTCAACCCAACTAGCCTACTACAAGCCATTAAGAACGGAGACCTGTTTTCGATATGGAACTATGATGGAAAGATTGCTTATGAAGACATCATAGCATCAACAGATGATTTTGACATTCGATACTGCATTGGAACTGGTGGTTACGGAAGTGTCTACAGAGCACAGCTACCAAGTGGAAGAGTAGTTGCCTTGAAGAAGCTTCATCATCTTGAAGCTGAGGAACCAGCCGTCGACAAGAGTTTCAGAAATGAGATAAAATTTTTAACAGACGTACGGCATCGAAACATTGTGAAACTACATGGATATTGTCTTCACAAACGATGCATGTTTTTGATTTACGAATACATGGAAAGGGGAAGCTTGTTTTTCATGCTAAGTGATGATGTTCAAGCTGTGGAATTGGATTGGACAAAAAGAGTGAACATTATCAAGAGCACGGCTAACGCTTTATCTTACTTGCATTTTGAGTGCACGTCAATAATGGTTCACCGAGACATCTCAAGTAACAACATCCTGTTAAACTCGGACTTGGAGGCTTTTGTCTCTGACTTTGGGACTGCCAGAATCATAGATCCTGATTCTTCAAATGAAACAAGGCTTGTTGGAACTTATGGCTACGTAGCTCCAGGTGATGCTATTCTGTACCGCTTCATTTACTAATCTGTTTTACTTTCTACTTTACTGGTTTACATTTTGTGATTAATTTGCAGATTAAATTGGTCTCCACTGTTAAATTTTTGTATCATATTACTAATGATTGTTGGATACTGTAATTGTCAAACCAAATGCATGGAAGCTGTCACTACAAATTCAATATGCAAGAATACACACACACACACACATGTGGGCAAATATCAGGGAAAAAAATTACAAGGGCTAGGATTAGGGAAATATAAGCAAAAGGATTATTACTGATTAGTATATGTTTTAATATATTTTAATTTGCATTGTTTTGTTCATGCAGAACTTGCCTACACAATGGTTGTGACTGAAAAATGTGATGTTTATAGTTTTGGAGTATTGGCATTGGAAACATTGGTGGGAAAGCATCCTGCAGAAATTTTGTCCTTGTTGTCGGCACCATCTTCTTTGCAAAATATAATGTTAATTGATGTATTAGATCCACGTCTCTCACCTCCAACATGTCAGCTTGTCGCACAGAATATTGTTCATGTAGCTACCATAGCATTCGCATGTTCACAAGCTGATCCAAACTTACGGCCAACAATGAAACATGTCTCACAAATGTTCCTTTCTTGTCAAAGATCATTAAGGAACCCCCTCCGAACAATCTCTTTGCTGCAACTTGTGAACTGTGGAATGCATATGGAAGGATCATATCAAGCTCCACAATGTTAGTGCCATTATTCGGGCAAATGTCTTGTTGTTAATTTTCATAAACTGACACAGTGCATTTTTGGTTTCATCCTTTTCTTTTTTATATTTTGTCCTTACTTTTTGTTATTTCCTCTTTCATATTTTCCATGTCATAATTCTCCAAGTTGGTGAAGATGTGTTCTGTTTTCCATGTTAAAGAGCAGTCTATTGTATCACTTGACTTTAGTAATGACTGTGAGTTCTGCTTCAACAATCACAACATCATCCCTGACGTATTCCGTTGGAGCATCATGAAGATACTTTGACGACACAAACCCACGATAACCCCAACTTTCATCAGAGAAAGTATACTATCGTTTAACTGCGAGCAGAAAAAATGAAACAGAGCATTTTCCTCTAACGAAAGAGTGACAGATATCAAATTAGCAAGCAATGATCATTGAAATTAAGCTTTCCACAATGAAAGACAGAAATATAAAATAAAAAAGAAATGGAAATGTATCGGCTACTGGTATATTTTTGTAACCAGGAAGCTGATTGGGAGGCCAGAGCTGCCTTCTCTTTGGCTGTTGACTGTTCTGTAACCTTTTGATGGGTTTATCCCATCTTGAATGAAAGTTTACGATTATTAATCTTCAAAAAAACATGGAACTGTGGAGTTTCTCCTATATGGTTCAGCCCAAATAACCTACAGTCATCCTTAGCTTCCCAAGTCAGAGGTAAATTTTCTGTCTCTTCTCGATTTCCACAGGAAAGGGAGATGAGCCATCTCCATTATTGTTCTTGTTTCCATTTGGGTAGAGTACCAACCTCCCATTAATACAAATGTTAAGGAATAAGAATTTGGAAGCCTTCTTGGGTTTAATATCCTTGTCTTGCAAACTAGGAACACCTTTAGAATCTCTCCGCCTTAGGTTTCCAGGTTGACATGCTTATGCTTACCTTGAGAACCTTACATGACATTTTTTTTTTTTTAAAGTTAAAACTTACGTGACATTTAATTTGACTACTTCGATAGAATTACAGGGACCTTCAATTAATCGGTTTGAAATAATTGTTCGAAACTATTAAATTAAAGAGGTTAAAGGTCTAATCATAATCTTCCACTTTAACTCTTAAAAGGGCCGGGTAATACAATAGTTGATCTCAGGAATGTCTTTGATTCCTACTACTTCTGGTTTTTGCTCCTCATGATTCCTTTCTTCAGGCTCTCCCCTGTCTCTATTTCAGCAATTCTTTTAGAATTTGCAAGAACAAAAATTAACATATTATAATTGATGCTCAAATTATCAATCTAAAAAATGAAAATGCACCCTTATGAATATTTCCGAATTTAAAACTTCCATCTCACATAAGGGTAGGGTAATGGGTATATTCTTCAAGATAATTAATTAAGGTTTGAAGAAATTTACCTTGACGATTCCACTTATTTTTATCAAGTTAATCCTCCACTCTTAGTTTGAACTCTGCATATACTTTCCGATTACATGGAGGTTTTTCAAATGCATTGTTTTCTCAATGGATTTGTTTTTCTTTTCTTTTTTATATATATGGGACTTACATGAAGATATTAATTTCGGATGCTGGATCAAGAAAATCAAGTTAAAACCAACACTACCCTATGAAACAAGATTGTATAGTAGCGATGATTTTTCATCATCAAGTGATGGATACCAATCATCTTTCTTTGGAAAGCAGTAACTTTTTGAATGCTACATAAATGGTTTATCCTCCCTTTTATAAATTATCAAGAGCATTATCCTACATAAATGCTAAATAAATGGTTCACGAATACATGGAAAGTGGAAGCTTGTTTTTCAGGCTAAGTGATGATGTTCAAGCTGTGGAATTGGATTGGACAAAAAGAGTGAACATTATCAAGAGCACAGTTTTTGCTTTTATCTTACTTGCATTTTGAGTGCACGCTGATAATAGTTCACCGAGACATCTCAGGTAACAACATTCTGTTAATCTCGAACTTGGAGGCTTTTGTCTCTGACTTTGGGACTGTCAGAATCATAGATCCTGATTCTTCAAATCAAACAAGGCTTGTTGGAACTTATGGCTACGTAGCTCCAGCTGATGCTATTCTGTACGGCTTCATTTACTAATTTGCTTTACACTCTACTTGTTTACTTTTTGTAGTTAATTTGAGGAATAAATCTGTCTCCTGTTAAGTATTTGTGTCATATGACCAATGATTGTTAGATACTCTAATTGTTGCACATTCCTAGGTTCATTTAAACCAAATGCATTGAAGCTATCACAATAAATTCAATATGCAAAAATCAGTGAAAAAATTATAGGAGCTAGGATTTGGGAAATATAAGCAAAAGGGTCATTAATAATTATTATGTTTTTTAATATATTTTAATTTACATTATTTTGTTTATACAGAATTTGCCTTCACAATGATTGTAACTGAAAAAGTGATGTTTATAGTTTCGGAGTTTGGCATTGAAAACGTTGGTCGGAAAGCATCCTGTAAAAATTTTGTCCTTCTTGTCAGCACCATCTTCTTTGCAAAATATAATGTTAATTGATGTATTAGATCCACGTCTCTCACCTCCAACATGCCAGCTGATTGCCCCAAATATTGGTCATGTAGCTACAATAGCATTCGCTTGTCTACTAGCTGATCCAAAATTACGGCCAACAGTGAAACATGTCTCACAAATGTTTCTTTCTTGTCAAAGCTCATTAAGGAACCCTCTCCCAGCAATCTCTTTGCTGCAACTTGTGAACTGTGGAATGCATATGGAAGGGTCATATGGAGCTCCACAATGTTAGTGCCATTATTCGGCAAGTGTCTTGTTGCTTTCATGAACTGATTGGTAGGATGCATTTCTGGTTTCATCCTTTTCTATTTTATATTTTGTCCTTACTTTTTGTTTTTTCCTCTTTCATATTTTCCATGTGATAATTCTCAAAGTTGGTGAAGATGTGTTCTCTTTTCCATGTTAAAGAGCAGTCTATCACATCACTTGACTTAAGTGATGACAGTGAGTTCTGCTTCAACAATCACAACATCATCCTCGATGTATCCCATTGGAGCATCATGAAGATTCTTAAATGACACAAACCTACGATAACCACAACTTTCATTAGAGAAAGTATACCACTGTTTAACTGCGAGCAAAAAATTTGAAACGAAGCATTTTCCTCAAACGAAACAGAGAGACAGATATCAAATTAGCAACCAGTAATCATTGAAACTAAGCTTTCTACAATAAAAGAAAGAAATATGAAATAAAAAAATGGAGCTGTGGAGTTTCTCCTGTCTGGTTCAGCACAAATAGCTTAAAGTTTAACATTAACTTCACAAGCCGCGCAAGAAGAGTGCTTGGGAAGAAGAGTGTTTGGGTGTCCTGTGGTCTGGGACGCTGTGGGGTTTGTTCCTGCAGCTTCTTTTTTGTGGTTCCTTTGTCTGTAATGGGAATTGGGCGGGGTTTTGTTAACTGGCTCCTTTCTGGGTTTGTTGTGTGATTGGGTGATGTGTCCTTGCGTTTTGATTAGGAGGATTCTTTTCTTGGGAAGAGTTCGGAAGTAAATATTTGGTATAGGTTTAGGAAGATAGGATTGTGCTCGTCGTTGGCTGTTTGAGCTCAATGGCGGGCTTGTGTTTACTTTTCTGTTTATGCCTACTGGTAACTTTTTGTGCTCAGGGCAAGCTGTGCATATTCTTCTGATCTTTCCCATGCCAGTTCCTTTGTGCCAGGTAAAAGTCTTCTGCCTAACGGGTTAAAGACTTAGAATGGCAAACTGGTAATGGAAGAACAAAACTTATTGCTTCTCAAAAAGAGAAAAAAACTTCCCAAGTCGGGTAAATTTTCTGTTTCTTCTCGATTTCCAAAGGAAAGGGAGATGAAGCCATCTCCATTGTTTTTCTTGCTTCTATTTGGGGAGAGTACCAAACTCCTGTTACTACCACTGTTAATGAACAAGAATTTGGAATTCGTCTTGGGTTTAACATTAAACTAGGAACACCTATAGAATCTCTCCACCTTAGGTTTCAAGGTTGACATGCTTACACTTGCCTTGAGAAACTTACATGACCTTTAATCTGATTACTTTGGTAGAATTACAAGAACCCAGGGAAGAAGCTAGTCAATGGGAAAAGGTATAAAAATTAAAAATTTTTAAAATCAATATGTTGAATTTAAGAAATAATTAAAAGATTTATAATAGACAATAATTTTATATAACATATAAATAAAAAAATAAGAAAATAAAAATTAAAAATAGTTTTATAATTAGTGGATTTTACTTGAAAAGTATCTATTTCCTCAAAATTGAGCATAAGGCATTTTGATTCTTATCACTCTTTTTCATGATTTGAAGTATTGAGTCTTGATGACTAAGTGTAAAAGAATTATTTAAAATATACTTGTACTTTAATCAAACTTGAATTTTTTTTAAAAAAAATATTTTTATTGAATCTTTGATTGAGTAAAGACTCTTAAACCACTCGAAACTTTATACAATTACACAAAAATATCACTTTAAAAACTTGATGGTTGCTTAAAGAGAATAAAAACGCCAAACAACAAAAAGAAGGGCAAGCACATAAAAAAAACTTCTGACAAAATTTTAATCAATGTGTTATCAACATTCAATATTCTTATTTTATTTCTATTTAAATTTAAAATACTAAATATAAAATTATAATATATAAAATAAAAATAATTAAATACTATACACAAGATTTTACATAATAGTTAAATATATAAATCATTAAATTATATAAATAGAAAAAAATAAAAAAAATTTACGTCAGCTTAATTTTACATAATGATGGTGAGTGATTTTTTTTATTTCTTGTTCAAGCTTAAAAGCTCATAAATTTCTTTTAAGTAATGAAATATATTTTAATCGTAAGTTACAGAGAAAAGACTAAAGTAAAAATAAAAAGACAAAAGAAAAAAAAAAGAAGTGTGAAGAAACTTAAATTAAGATAAAAGGATGTAGAGTTTATGAGATTATATTATTATATTTTATTTATATTAATATTAAAATAAAAAATTATTTTGAGAGAATCATTAAAAATATATAGTAAATAAATAATTCTATAAATTTTAAAGGGAAACATTAAAAAATACATAATAAATAAAAAAATTTAAAAATTTTGAGAAGAGTCATTTATATAAATGTATATATTATATAATAAAAAATTTTAAAAGATTTGAGGGGCCCGTGGTCCCCCCATAGTTACATGACCCTCCGCCCCTGTAGGGACCTCTAATTAATAGGTTTGAAATTATTGTTCAAAAGTATTAAATTAAAGAGGTTGAATTTCTAATCATAATCTTCCTATTTAACTCTTAAAAAAGCATGGTAATACAATAGTTGCTAATGAAAAAGTTGGATGCCTTTCAGTTGTTTGGCGAACTAGAAAAATATTTATCTCAGGATTGTTTTTGATTCCTTCTACTTCTGGTTTTTGCTTCTGATGATTCCTTCCCTGATTCTCTCTTCTCTTTCTCCTTTACAATACATAGCTTACAATCAGTAACATTTTTTCCCATTATAGACCCTGCACAAGGAAAAAACCGTTGGAAAAGCCACTTCAAAGTTCTCCTCAGCCCTAGCAATGGCTTCCACTACACTACACCTCCCCAATCCATACCCCCCACTGAGTGTCCCCTCCTTTGAAGATCCCCTCCTGCATACTTCCAATTTAACACTCTACCTCTAACTGAATTCCAATTGTTATCTTTTTTTACTTACAATTTACTTTCAGATGTGACATTTAAATAACTTAATTTGACAAAGAAGCTATCAAAGACTATTGACTTGAGACACTTTGATCTGTTGTTAAGTCTTGTACTTCTTCTAATCAATTACTATATTGATGGATAGACCAATGTTCTTAATTTTGGTTTGAAAGCAAAATTAATGTTAAAAATTTCTCAACCACAATGTTCTTAATCAGTTCTCTTGCTTTCTGAAGACTGGACGCAGGAAAAATAGCCAAAATACACGCAAAATTTATTATCCTTGTCCATCAGGGGGCAAAACTTCTCCAATGTGAAAATAAGCAGTCAATGGGCGTGTTAGACAAGTGTATCCTGTACCTATATTCCTGTCCTTGCGGCTACTGCTTCCTGGAAGTATGGTTGCTACTTCCTAGACACTACTGCGTCATTGACTCCCACAAAGAAACTAATCGACACGCAAGAAATTTTGCAGAAAAACGAAGAATGAGAAAATACACATTGAAGCAAAGACAACGGAAAAAGCTGATCTCGTGTAAAAGATGTTCTCGCGGTTGAGCAAAAACAGAAGTGGACCACACCATGAATTTTTTGTGTAAGCATCGAAATTCCACTCTCTGTATCTATATTCATGGTCATCACTCTTCTCTTTTAGAAGACCTTGACTCAGGAAATAAACATCTTTAAATTTCGCTGCACTGGGAATTAACAAGCAACAACAAGAACTTGCCATATATGATGAACTTAAACATGAGCTTAGCTATTACAACTCTGATGGTATGGATTACTACCGTCCTTCCTTCCTATGTTGCATCTCAAGTTACCGCAACTACCTCAGCAACAGCATTGTCACTGGAACAAGAAGCGAAGGCTATACTCCAGAGTGGTTGGTGGAGTAGCTACAGCAACGACACTTTGCAGCGTTGCAACTGGACAGGTATCTCATGCAACGATGCTGGAAGCGTCATCGAAATTAACCCACCTTCTGACGTTATTAAGGTTGGTGATAAATTCAAGAATATGGACTTCTCTTCCTTTCCAAATCTTGTTTTTCTTAGTCTTAATCGTCATGAACTCAATGGGACCACGGAGGATTTTGTGATCAACATAAGTAGTCTGTCAAGATTAACGCATATCAACTTGTTCTCGAATTATTTATATGGTAGGTTATCTCCTCGGCTTGGCAATTTCACCCGATTAGAGTATCTTGATTTTTCTTCTAACCAAATCAATGGATCCATCCCAGTCGAAATTGGAAAGTTAAAGAATTTGGTGACTCTCGATCTATCTGATAATAAGTTATTTGGTTCAATTCCTTCTACTCTAGGTAAGTTAACCAATTTAGAGACCCTGTATTTGTTTTGTAACTCACTTAATGGTTCCATTCCTTCCACTCTAGGTGACTTAACCAATTTAGAGATCCTATATTTGTCTTATAACTACCTTGATGGTTCGATTCCTTCCACTCTAGGTAAGTTAACAAAACTGCAATCTATTCAGCTTACCGCAAATCTAATCCAAGGTTCCATACCCAAGGAAATTGGAGACTTGGAAGCACTAACTTCATTGCAGCTCTCTCAAAATCTATTGAGTGGACCCATTCCGCATCAAATTGGCAATTGCTTCAAGTTAAAACTGTTGAACTTAAGCAACAACAATTTACAAGGGCTCATTCCTAATCAAATCAGCAATATTTCGTCACTAGACCGAGTAGATCTTAGAAACAATGATTTCTCGGGTGTTGTTCCTTATAATTTTCTTGAAGCAATGTATCATCACCCAAATATTAGCTGTTATAGAATAGATGCTGAGATATTTGGTGGCCACAAAAATTTAGCAACCTACTCCTGTTCTCCAGTGAAGAAGAGTTACAATCTCCAAATATTTCTACCCCTTGCCTCGTTCGTTGCTCTCTTTCTTCTCGGGTGTTTATTATTATTGTGGAGGCATAAGGTAAAGGTCAACCCAACCAGTGTACTACAAGCCACTAAGAATGGAGACCCGTTCTCGATGTGGAACTACGATGGAAAGATTGCTTATGAAGACATCATAGCAGCAACAAATGATTTTGACGTTCGATACTGCATTGGAACTGGTGGTTATGGAAGTGTCTACAGGGCACAGCTACCGAGTGGCAAAGTAGTTGCCTTGAAGAAGCTTCATCGTCTTGAAGCTGAGGAACCGGCTTTCGATAGGAGTTTTAGAAATGAGATCAAATTCTTAACAGAAGTTCGACATCGAAACATTGTGAAACTGCATGGGTATTGTCTACACAAACGATGCATGTTTTTGATTTATGAATACATGGAAAGGGGAAGCTTGTTTTTCATGCTAAGTGATGATGTTCAAGCTGTGGAATTGGATTGGGCAAAAAGAGTGAACATTATCAACAGCACGGCTTATGCTTTATCTTACTTGCATTTTGAGTGCACACCAATAATAGTTCACCGAGACATCTCAAGTAACAACATTCTGTTAAACTCGGACTTGGAGGCTTTTGTCTCTGACTTTGGGACTGCCAGAATCATAGATCCTGATTCTTCAAATCAAACAAGGATTGTTGGCACTTATGGCTATGTAGCTCCAGGTGGTGTTATCCTTGACCGATTCATTTACTAATTTGCTCTACTCTCCACTTTACTTGTTTACTTTTTGTAGTTAATTTGTAGACTAAATCGGTCTTCATTGTTAAATTTTTGTGTCATATGACTAATGAGCAATTGTCAAACCAAATGCATGGAAGCTATCACTACAAATTCAATATGCAAGAATATATATACATACGTGGGCAAAAATCAAGGGAAAAAATTATAGGGGCTAGGATTTGGGAAATAAAAGCAAAAGGATCATTAATTATTATTATTATTATTAGTATTATTATTATGTTTTTAATATATTTTAATGTGCATTATTTTGTTTATGCAGAACTTGCCTACACAATGGTTGTAACTGAAAAATGTGATGTTTATAGTTTTGGAGTTTTGGCATTGGAAACGTTGGCTGGAAAGCATCCTGCTGAAATTTTGTCTTTGTTGTCAGCACCATCTTCTTTGCAAAATATGATGTTAATTGATGTGTTAGATCCACGTCTCTCACCTCCAACAAGCCAGCTAGTCGCACAGAATATTGTTCATGTAGCTACCATAGCATTCGCATGTCTGCAAGCTGATCCAAAATTACGGCCAACAATGAAACATGTCTCACAAATGTTCCTTTCTTGTCAAAGATCATTAAGCAACCCCCTCCGAACAATCTCTTTGCTGCAACTTGTGAACTGTGGAATGCATATGGAAGGATCATGTCAAGCTCCAAAATGATACTGCCATTATTAGGACAAGTGTCTTGTTGTTTTTGTAAACTGATTAATAGGATGCATTTCTGGTTTCAACCTTTTCTTTTCTATCTTTGGTCCTTACTTTTTGATATTTCCTCTTTCATATTCTCCATGTTATTAGTTCTCCAATTTGGTGAAAATGAGTTCTGTTTTCCATGTGAAAGGTCAGTCTATCATGATAAGTTACATTTCATTATGCTGAAATCACTTCATTCCTTAAACAAGTGTTAGATGTATCTAATCCTATTTCAGATTCTATTTTAGAACACTGCTCGATGTTTAAAACTAACTAATTCAGATGAGCAAAATTCGATTCCAACAATGAAACAGAGCTTTTTTCGTCAAAGGAAACAGAGTGACAGATATCAAATTAACATCCAATGGTCATTGAAATTACCCTTTCTACAGTGAAAGAAAGAATGATTAAATAAAAATAATGGAGATATTGGGTTTCACCTCTCTGGTCAAACACATATAATTTAAAGACAACGTTAATTTCCTGTCTCTTCGATTTCTAAGGAAAGCGATATGAAGCCATCTCCATTGTTTTTCTTGTTTCCATTTCGGTAGAGTATCACCCTCCTATTAATAACAATGTTAATGAACAAGAATTTGGAAGCCCTCTTTTGTTTAACATCCTTGTCTTGTAAACTAGGAACACCTTAGAATCTCTGCTTTCAAGGTTGACATGCTTATGCTTAACTTGAGAAACTTACATGACCTTTAATCTGACTACTTCGATAGAATCACAGGGGACCTTCAACTAATCGATTTGAAATTATTGCTCGGAACTATTAAAGAGATTAAATTTTTAATCATAATCCTCCAATTTAACTCTTAAAAAAACAGGGTTTGAAAAATACTGATCTTAGGATTGTCTTTGATTCCTACTTCTTCTGGTTTTTGCTTCTCATGATTCCTTTCTTCAGGTTTTCCCCTTCCCTATTTTTTGTTTTTTATGATGAGGTGTTCAGCAATCTCTTAGCATTTGCAAGAACAAACATTAATGATGCTCAAATTATTAATCTAAAAATTTGGAAATGCATTCTTATGAATTTTTTTGAATCTAAAACTTCCATCTCACAGTAGGGTGGGGTAAGGGGGTAATGAGCATATTCTTCGAGATAATTTTTTGGGACAAATTTTGTTTAGCCCTCAAAAATAAGAAATTTTTTAAAATAATTCTTTTTAAAATATATTTTTTTTAAACCGCAAGAGAGTTTTTGTGTGTTTAGTGGCTTGACTAATCAAATTAAGAATCGATGGGTCAATACTTGATCAACCACTCAATTCAAACTAAAACCAACTACATTCGTTAAGTAAATATTCAAATTTGTGAGATACCTTCATTTACACACAAGGTTTCCAAAGTTATTGGTCTTTAGTTTGAAAATGGTGGGGGATTATTGATGTATTTTCAAAATCAAAGATTATATCACATAATGAAAAGCTATCTTAGCTCAAAGGTTATGTGACATAGTATGACTATTAGATTGTGTGTAGGTTTTCATGTGAATGATTGTCTTTTGATAAAATAAGATCCAAAGATTATGAGACAAATTAAAAATATATCATAACTCAAAATTTTAAATATGAAAAATTATTGTTTTAAATTATAACTCAAAAATTATGCTTTATGAAATAAATAATCATTCTTTCATAAAAAAGGATACCTTTATCCAAAAATTGTGTCTTGCAAATTGTATAAATGTCTTTTAGACAAAATAGTCATCTTTTCATAAAAAAACAATACCTTATCAACCAATGTCCCATTGTAAGTCTCTTGCTTGTTAGTAGGAGACTTTTCATGACATAATATTATAGTTTGGGCATTAGACTTTGCAACTACAATAGACTATTACTGCATAAAAAGCAATTGACGGTGCAGCTCAAAATGTTCCCTAGCTGCATCACAAAAAATAATTTGCATCAATCAGAAAATAAGAACTCTTTACTATCTATTCATGGCTTTCATACTTACACAGCCATAGACCTGCAAATCCTAGCTCCAAACTTGTATCCAACCATCCTAGATCCATACTTACAAAGCCATATCCGTTCATTAACGTAGCTTCATCATTCTCATAGCGATCCCCTACCAATGCAACAATCGTCCAATATTAATGATGTTAAACCAGCAAACGCTCCAGCTTTCCTCACATGTGAAGCTCTTGAAAAGTCGGTTCTGTCAGAAAGCACTGAAAATGATCCAAATTCTCTTCTTGTTGCATCTCTTTGTATTAAAGATGTAAATGGTTCTCCTGCATGTCAAATACTGTTATCATAACGATTCTGCTTCATCTTTTATAAGCCAATTTTAGATGTCTATGCTTACTAGTATCATAATCAAACCTAATTCTTCCCAGCATCATATGATCTCGAATAGACGAAAATATCACTTCATTAAATCATACTCGTGTCAATCAGCACTAAGAAAAATCGGCAAAATCAATAATGATACCCAACTCTGCTAGGTTTAATAAATTTAAAAATTTACCTCAAAACAAATCAAGATAGTTAAGGGTCAACTCAATATTTTACTCAAAATTGTCAAAACAAAAAATATACTGTTAAAAGTATGTAAAGTAGCAGGTTTTGCATTTGTTCTCACTTGTTGCTTTACATTTGAGTCATCACTTTTGAATTTGGTTTGTTAACATTTTGATATACCTATTCGCATCAATTACTTAAGGTTTCATTAATCATGATTATAATATAAGCTTGATCAAAATACCTATTTGCACAGATCCAAGTTGCCCAGTCCTCGTCCATCCAGTCATCCCTAACCTTTCCAAAAAGATAAATTAAAGCAACCCTGTTTTCATTCCATTCTTCCATGATTACTGGCTGACCCGTTTTCTAATATTCCTTCTAGAGTGAGTCCCTCTGCAACCTTGCGAATTGAACCACAGACTTTAGGTCCAGACAAATATCTGGAGCGTCATGAAGATTTCTTAACGACACAAACCGACGATAACCCCAGCTTTGATTAGAGGAAGTGTATCGTAAAAAATGAAACAGGGTAGCTACTGCTCATTAGTCATTTCCAAGTGAAAACTAATGTTTGGATATTTACTAAACAAAAATAGCTTTGTCGAGAGTATGGCTCTATCTTGGGTAAGAAGTGAGCTGGCCGAATATCCCTTGCTTGTTCTGACAATGACAGCTTAAATAGAGTAATTGCAAAGCTCTAGGAGAAACACTTGAAGTTGGATAAGAGGATAATTTCTGCTTGAACAGTCAAGGCATCATTCAACAGAAACCCCTTTGATGCAATGCGGAGATTTTCCAGTGATTCGAAGGGAGAATAACCTAAATATTTGTTGGCCCTAAACCATGCTATACCTACAAAAAAAAAATATCACTTGGGTTTCCAAGTTTAACTGGTTTAAAACAAAGAAAATATAAAATCTATAAAGTAAGGTGTTCACCTGTGATTTTCTTGTGGTTAGAACCGATTTGATCCATTAAAAATAATTTGAATTTCACGTACGAAGTCCTCCCCGAAGGAACATCCCCCTGCTTACAATAGCCTAGGTATAGAGAGAGCGCTGTACCCTTTGCCCTACCAGTTCCGTTGGGATAAACGCGTATTCGCCTATATCAAGTAACTAAAGATGATGACAATGGCAAAGCTTAAACAAAAAGAATGATGCATTCAAATATTTAGTTCAATAGCCGATGCAAGTGGAATTAATTAAAAGGGTAATTTGAATTTTCCTCATCTAATTTTTAAAAATTTTCAATCTTGAAAGTTAATGCATTTGAATTCTTTGTCAAGCCGATTTTCATGCCAATAGGAGTCTTAGACAATTACAGCTTGAGACTTTCTTTGGCATATTGGATGTATGGCCAAATAAATCCATCTTTCAAAAAAAAAAAAAGGTACATACCATTTTAACCCCGCAACAGCTTGTGCATGAGAGTCGTATTTTTCCTCATCTAATTTTGAAATATTTTTAATCTTGAAAGTAATAGGATTGCCATGAGGCTGGGTTATCATAGACAGACACTCCAATTTGCGAGTCTGTTCAATTACAAAAACCTCTGCCCCAAATACGCGGGAATCATCAACCAGGTATCCATTGCAAGGGTCATTGAAAGACTCATGGAGGAGTAATTAATCAAAGCCCCATTCTGTCTTCATCTGATGAAATCGCTTAACTGCCCCAGCATCTGTATATGCGTATGCAGTAATAAGTAAAAGACAAATGTGTATTGATTTTTCGATCAAAACGTTTGAAAATAACTTGTTTTGATCAGTAACAAAGCCGCACCTTCAATGGTCAAGTACTTGTCCCGAATCTGGTCAAAAACAAATAACCTGAAGTTGACATTTACTTCCCAAGCTGGATTGTCCGTACTCTGCAATTTGCCAAGTAAAGGGAGATGCAGTCCACCCCTATGCTTTCTTTTTTCCCTTTGGGTAGAGTAGCAACCTCCTATTGAGATCATTTAGAGAAAAATCAGGGTTAAGTAGAGTTGATCATATATCTTCACCGCAAAGAGTGTACACACCATTTGTAACCTCCAGCTTCAAACACACCAGATTCCAATTTTTCTTCTAAACCTGTCTCAGCAAATAAGGTGAAGGACTCTACTTTAAATGAGTAGTGAGCTGGAGGAAGATCTCTTGTTACCCTTGTGATTCCTGTAAAACATAAAGCAAAATCATGTGAATGTTTATCTCTCTTTAATTTTTATAATATAAAAAATTATATCACAATATAAATGTTTAATATTTCTTAATATGAAAAATAAATTTATAATACAAAAAATTCGAAGAACAGAAAGAGTGACAAGTTCAAACCAGAGTCATTGGCCAAAGGAGCAGGGTTATCGGCTAAAGGAGCAGGAGGACTGTAGTAATCTATTTCTTCCACCTTGCCGGACCTATTCCTTGACGTTGAGGCCTTTGCTTGGCACCATGAAAGACTATTTGAAACTTTTCTAATAAATTTAGAGGTTGACATTGATATCAATTTAAAGAAACTTTTGCTTGGCACCAGGAAAAGACTTTGAAACTTTTCTAATCGAAGATAGAAAAAAGTTAGAGGTTGATATCGACAGCAATATAAAGAAACTTTTCTAACCAAAATGGAACCTCTAAGAAGAACCCTAATTCAATTCAAATGTTCCAGGATAAACATCAATTTTATCATTATCTGTTAGATTTTATGATAAAGTTAAGGTTAAACTTTGAAAGTAGATTGAAGTTGAGTATAACTCTACTTTAATCACAAATTTTTTGGGATTAATTAAGATTATGAGATTTAAAGCTTATGAGAAAGTTAAAATACTTTTATAAATTTTATTATTTTATTTTCAATAAATTAATATGATAATGTTAAAATTTGTTTAAATTTTTATTATTTTACTAATGAAATTTAATCAATCGGCTTATTTCGTCCAAAATATAAATACGAGAACTTAATTGAATAAAATAAAAAATTAAAGACTTATTTAAATATCTTTAAATAGTTTAGGAACTTATTTGAGTATTATGTCAAATATTAATATTTATCAATTATATAAAACATCTAAATATTCATCAAATGATGATCATGGAAATATTTTTTATTATAATTATTAGTTAAATTTATTCAATTCATAAATAAAAAATTTAATTGCATCGAAAGGTTTTATTAAAAAATATTTTTAATTTTAATAATATTAAATCAATTAAATATTAATATTTTAAATTAAAATTTTTTAAATTAAATATTAATATGTTATTAATTTTTTAACTATTTTAAATTAAATATTAATATTTATCAAATCTAATCTCATTAATTCGTAAAATTTTTTAAGTTTAAAATAAATTTTTATTCAAATTTTACATTTGAAATCAAAGCATCTCCTATTAACAATAGAGGGTCAACTCAACGTTTTAATTGGCAGAACAAAAATATAGTCAAAGTAACTGGTTTCACATCTGTTGTCACTTAGTATCCTATCTTTTGCATTACGTTTGAGTCCAGTTGGGAAGCTAGAAAGTGGCTTAATGAGGATAGCTAAGCTGACATGCCGGAGCACAACAGGGTGGTGCCTTACCGCACCACTTTTGAATTTGGTTCGTCAACAATTTTGACATACCTAATCGCATCAATTACTTGGTTTCATTACACCTCTGGTCCAACTTAACAAGCTTGATCAAAATACCTATTTGCACCAATCCAAGTTGCCCAGTCCTTGCCCATCCATTCATCCCTAACCTTTCCAAAAAGATAAATTAAAGCATCATTCTTCCATGATTACTGACTTTAGGTCCAGACAAATATCTGGAAGCCCACGATAACCCCAACTTTCACCATGGGAAGAGTATCCTAAAAAATGAAACAGAGTTTCTACTGCTCATTAGTCATTCCCAAATGAAAGTTGGTGTTTGGATATTTACTAAACGAAAATAGCTATGTCGAGAGTATGGCTCTATCTTGGGTAAGAAGTGAGCTGGCCGAATATCTCTTGCTTGCTCTGACAATGCCAGCTTAAATAGAGTAATTGCAAAGTTCTAGGAGAAACACTTGAAGAAGTTGGATAGGAGGATAATTTCTGCTTGAACAGTCAAGGCATCATTCAACAGAAAGCCCTTCGATGCAATGCGGAGATTTTCCAGTGATTCGAAGTGAAAAAAACCATACAATTTGTCGGCTGGAAACAATGATTTAGCCGCAAACAGGAAATAAAAAATATATATAACCTGGGTTTCCAATTTTAACTAGTTTAAAACAAAGAATAGTTGAAACCCATATGAAAAAGAAAGTAAGGAGTTCACCTGTGATTTCCTTGTGATTAGAACCGATTTGATCCATTAGACGCAGTTTGAACCTCATGTACAATCTCCTACCCGAAGGAAAATCCAACTGCTTAAAAGAGCCTAGGAATAGAGAGAGTGCTGTACTCTTTTCCGTGTCATACCCATTGGGATAAACGCTTAATCGCCTACATCAAGTAACCAAAGAAGGGCCCAGATGATGATACTGGCAAAGCTTAACTTAGCAATTTTTTTTTTTTTGGAAATCGCTTAACTTGGCAATTTCATGTTTACTTAATGTAAAAAGAATGATGCATTCGAAAATTTAGTTCAGTAGTCAATGAATGAGATTAAAAGTTGACACATACCATTTTAAGCCCCCAAGAGTTTGTAATCCAGAGTCATAAACGTAATATACCTCATCTAATTTTGAAATATTTTTAATCTTGTAAGTAATAGGATTGCCATGAGGCTGGTTTATTGTAGAAACTCACTCCAATTGTCAGGTCTGTTCAATTACAAAAACCTCTGCCCCAAATACGTAGGAATCATCAACCAGGTATCCATTGGAAGGGTCATTGAAAGACTCATGGAGGAGTGATTGATCAAAGCCCCATTCTGTCTTCATCTGATGAAATCGATTAACTGCCCCAGCATCTGTATATCTGTATATGCGTATGCTGTAATAAGTAAAAGACAGATGTGTATTGATTTTTTGATCAAAACGTTTGAAAATAACTTTTTTTGATCAGTAGCAAAGCCGCACCTTCAATGGTCAAGTACTTGTCCCAAATCAGGTCAAAAACAAATAACCTGAAGTTGACATTTACTTCCCAAGCTGGAGGAAGTTTTTCTGTCTCTTGCAATTTGCAAGTAAAGGGAGATGCAGTCACCCCCATTGCTTTTCTTATTTCCCTTTGGGTAGAGTAGCAACCTCCTATTGAGATCATTTAGAGAAAAATCAGGGTTAAATAGGAGCAGGGGGACGGCCGCCATCTATTTCTTCCCTCTTACCGGACCTGTCCCTTGGCATTGATCTTGTACAGGAAAGACCATTGGAAACTTTTCTAATCGAAGATAGAAAAAATTTAGAGGTTTGACATTTTTGCTGGTCACCAGGAAACACTATTTGAAACTTTTCTAATCGAAGATAGAAAAATTTAGAGGTTGATATTGACATCAATTCAAAGAAACTTTTCCAACCAAGATAGAACCTCTAGGAAGAACCCTAATTCAATTTAAATGTTCAAGGATAAACATCAATTTCGTCATCATCTGTTTAGATTTTATGATAAAGTTAAGATTAAAGCTTGTAAGTATATAAATTGAAGTGGGGTTTAACTCTACTAGAATAACAATTTTTTTTGGATTAATTAAGATTAAGAGATTTAAAGCTTTTGTGAAGGTCAAAATACTTTTGTAATTTTTATTGTTTTATTTTCAATAAATTAATATGATAATGTTAAAATTTATTTAAATTATTTTCAAGTGAAATTGTGGCATGGTTTAATCAAATCACTAATTTTGATTCTTTAATTTATTTATCTTAATTATTAGATAAAAAATCCAAAAAATAATCTCATTTGAAAGAGACGATAAATAATTTAATATCACCTTGTTAACTCATGAATAAAAAAATTAATGATCTAAATTCAAAATAATTCTAAAGTCCAGACATTGATTTATCGTCCTAAAATTCAAGTTGATTTATAAAAGAAAAAAAATCAAGCTGAGTAGTCCAATTTTGACTTTTTATTGAAACAACCCAAAGTACCATGAATAAATACAGTGTATGATTTGATTTGTTGATGGCTGGCTTTGTAATGGAAACGACGTCGTTAGTTTCCGAGCCGTCAATTATGACCAAACAGACGGCTGGTTCGTTCTTTCCGAGCCAAGCAGCCTTAGTGTACTACGGACAAACATCAGCCGTCCGATTTTTAAATCTGACGGTTGTGATGTCAAGTTTAGAACCCTTGAGGACGCGTGCCATCACCACCAATTAGCAGGTGACACCGACTCTACTAGATTCACGACACACTTTTGCTATTAACCGTTTCAAGGAAATTCTACTTCGTCGGTTAAATTGAAGTGCGAGTGAAATTAGTAAAATAAATTTTGCTTTTAAATAGGGGATCCTCGCGATCCAGTAAAACCCCTCTTGCGATTTGTGAGGAGAAACTTGAGGGAACGAATCGCGCTCTCTCTCAAGCTTTCTTCTCTCCTTGAAGCTTTTAACTTTCCTTGAAATCTATCGCTTTTTTTCTTCTCCCTGCAAACCCTAACCGGTGAGTATCTTAATTTTGGGATTTGTGGTATAACTGGATCTTTTATGTTTCTGCTTTTCTATGATTTATAATCTTAAGGTTGTGTAGAATTAGAACGAAATTTGTTTAAAGTTGATTGCTTTTCAATCTGTTTGGGGTTAGGGTTTTTGTTTTTATTGGTCAATTGGGTTGTTTCTCATTTGAGGTTCGATTTCTTGAACTGTTTTAAGTGGTGAATTTATTCGTTTCTATTACTTGAAACAGATAACTGACGTGATTTAATCATGTTTGGGCGTGTTCCAAAGAAGAGCGATAACACCAAATATTATGAAGTACTTGGGGTTTCAAAAACTGCAAGTCAAGATGAATTGAAGAAGGCTTATAGGAAGGCTGCTATCAAGAACCATCCTGATAAAGGTGGAGATCCGGAGAAGGTAATGATAAACTATACTGTGCTGTAATTGTAGTTAAAACTGTGCTGTAATGGTAAGATATCTTCAATATCCGGTTTGATATATTTTTGGATATTTTATTAAAGGTGGAGATCCAGTTAAAACTGTGCTGTAATTGTAAGATATCGTTTGACTTATTTTTGGATATTTTCTTATATGGAGAGTGTTTGTTAAAACGGTGTGCAATTTGCAGTAGAAATTCTCATGCAAATTAGAAGACACTAACACTATCTTCTTATTCTGCTTCTCAGTTTAAGGAATTGGCTCAAGCTTATGAAGTTCTTAGCGATCCTGAAAAGAGAGAAATATATGACCAATATGGTGAAGATGCTCTTAAAGAGGGAATGGGAGGAGGTGGTTCTTCTCATAACCCATTTGACATATTTGAATCATTTTTTGGCGGTGGAGCCTTTGGTGGTAAGAGATTATTTTGTTATCCATTTTTGTACTTCCTCTTTTGAAGTTCTGTAGCAATTTTAATAACATGTCTTTTCAACATTTAGGTGGTGGTAGCTCAAGAGGAAGAAGGCAAAAGCGAGGTGAAGATGTTGTGCATAGTCTAAAAGTTTCTTTGGAAGACTTGTACAATGGGACAACAAAGAAACTCTCTCTTTCCAGGAATGCTCTATGCAGCAAATGTAAAGGGTATGTCTTCCTTCGGGGTCTCTTTGAGTTTGGATATATGGTGCTTTGAGCCTAATTTTTTCTTTTGAGTATTTACTCAATAGCTTGTTGTCTATGAGTTTATCTTGCAAGTTGTTCATCTTCCCTCCCTCCTTGTTCTCCTATATCCTAGTCTGTGAAGAACCTTGTGTGATGACCTTTTGCTCACCTGCATTTTGAAAATTTTCAGGAAAGGTTCAAAGAGTGGAGCCTCTTCTAGATGTTATGGTTGTCAGGGTTCAGGAATGAAAATTACAACACGTCAGATTGGACTGGGGATGATCCAACAGATGCAGCATGTCTGTCCTGAATGCCGAGGCTCAGGTATTTGAATTTAACCTGCTTTGTCTTGGGCTGGGTACAAAGTCCATGTACAGATATCTGAAAACGGATTTCATCTCCTTTCTTGCAGGTGAAGTGATCAGTGAGAGAGATAGATGCCCACAGTGCAAAGGAAACAAGGTTACTCAGGAAAAGAAGGTGCTTGAAGTACATATTGAGAAAGGAATGCAAAATGGCCAGAAAATTACATTTGAAGGACAAGCTGATGAAGCTGTAAGTTAAATACTTTTTCTCTTGTATGTGACATTTTTTTAATATTTCAAGCTTGACCAAGTTCTTTTCATCATTTGCAGCCGGATACAGTTACTGGAGACATTGTTTTTCTTTTGCAACTGAAGAAACACCCAAAATTTGAACGGAAATTCGATGACCTCTATGTTGAACACAACCTCAGTTTGACAGAGGCTCTGTGTGGGTATCAGTTTGCCCTAACTCACCTTGATGGCAGGCAGCTTCTAATTAAATCAAACCCTGGGGAGGTCATTAAGCCTGGTAATTTTCTTTGCATATTTACTTATTAAGCTACTTTTCCAAGTTAACATCCAATCACTCATCTCCTCTCCCCTGCTTGAAAATGCAGGTCAATACAAGGCTATCAATGATGAGGGTATGCCCCATCATCAAAGACCTTTCATGAAGGGCAGGCTATTCATCCATTTCAATGTTGATTTCCCAGAATCTGGTGTTTTTTCACCTGAGCAATGCCGCACATTAGAGACTATATTGCCCATGAGGACTAGTAAACACTTGACAGACATGGAGGTTGATGACTGTGAAGAGACTACTTTGCATGATGTCAACATTGAGGAGGAAATGAGGCGGAAGGAACAACAGCAGCATAGGCACCATGAAGCTTATGATGAAGATGACGATGAGCCATCAATGCCAAGAGTGCAGTGTGCCCAACAATAAGAAATATTAGTGTTCAATGTTTTTCCCTAGTAGCGGAGTTATCGTTTGTGGGTGTGTATGTGGGTGTGTCTGCGTATTCAATTAGCCAGTTGTCCTCTATTTTGATTTTTGATACTTACTCAGTTTCAGCATTTTGTGTTATTTTATCACGTAGTTTGTTCACAACTTTCAACAATTAATTTGCGTTCAGATGCTATATTTGAGAATAGTATAAGTTTAGTAGATTCATTTTGGTTTGTAGGAATGTTACAGCCGATGGTTCAACGTCGGTGAGAGTATTCATACCTGAAAGATGCTACCTAATTCCTCGACTCCCTCACGAGTGATCAATCCACAGATTTCTGAAAGTATTAATCATTGAGATGACCATTGATAGCTCAGTCTTGGTTTAAATGCAGCAGGTTCTCGATTATGAGAAGTGCTCAATCATGAAATAAGGGTTCGGCCGTTTCTCTTCTATTTGATTTTTTGTTTTTCTTATTGAACCCTTCGAAAACTAATCTATGTTCGGATGCAATATTTGATATTATGTAAGTCTTGGATACATTTGGTTGATTTGAATGCTTTGCTTCAAATAATTCAACATCAGTTGGATAATTCATACCTGAAATCGAGTTTGGGTGAGACAATGTTCAATGTATTGCGAGCAACGAAGATAGAGCATGGGGAATGAAAACCTTTTCTTTAGGTTAATATATTGAACTTCGTAAATCCATCAAAACCAGCTTCCTGAACTTAGCAAAGGTGACTCTTGGTAGCTCTAACCATACTAGCATAAACATATGCTTCAGCAACTCAGCAAAGGTAACTCTAGGTAGCTCTAACTATACTGCCATAAGCGTATGCTTCAGCTCGATGGCAACTAGGAGTGAGCAAGCGTGCAATCGACCGGAACGTCACAACCGGCTCAGTTTTTTGATGCTGATTGTTGTGTCACTTTTAGTTGTATAATTTCTAATTTTTATGGATTTGTAGTGTGTACAATTTATTAATTTATGTTGTACTTCTCACATTTAGATTAATTGCATTGGATAAATTACTAAATAGCATTTCATATTATACACAATTTATGAAAATCTTTTTTCCTTATCTTTTTTATTTTATTTAATATTTTCGTTAATCAATTTAATATATGATATTTATTACTTTTTTAAAAAACATAAATTATTGATTTTGCATTCTTGTAAATATATAATATGGTGCTTTTTTTATTAAAAAAATTATATAGTGTTTAATTATATAATTAAAAAAATCATATGAATGGAATTACTTATTTAAACAACAAAGGTTTGATTTCAAATATAAAAATAAATTTTATATAAATTTAAGCCTAAACCCAATAGAAATTTTTTCATGATTTTATTATATTTGAGCCATTTAAGCTCAAGCCCAATGCAACTTTCAACCAACTGAAATCGAAATTGATTTTAACAATAATAAAAGCTCAAGCCCAATGCAACTTTCAACCAACTGAAATCGCAACCAATAATAAAAAACACGCTAGAAGGAGGGTTCGAACCTCCGACCTTATGGTTAACAGCCATACGCTCTAACCAACTGAGCTATTCCAGCTCGCTAATATTAAAGCCATAATATGTCTTAATGCGAATAACATAAATTATTAGATTGTAAAGGTCCAACTGTGCATCATGTCATGTGATACTATGATACTTCTGTGAATAACAATTCTATGTTGCTAGCCCCTGTACACCTGCTTATATGATTATGTAATAACAAAGATTGAAAAGCTAAGGGAAACTATTATGTCTTTTTAGTTTAGTTTTAGGTTTCTTGGTTTATTTTTTCTTTTTTTAGAGATAGGGGAAAATATGTATGGACGAAGTTATTTTTATAGACTACAAAATTAAAAAATGTAAATTAAATGTCCGCTTATATACCTACCATGGTAAGAAATGACTATTTAATCATTTTTCTATGGTAAAAGGGATTGAGATTTTACTCTAAACCACACTTCGATGATTAAAAATTAATTTCCTGTTAAGAGAATATTAAAACAAAGTTACTATGACCAATTAAATACTGCCCTTAATTATAACAAGCCACTTATCATTAAGTAAATGTATAAAATATCTACAATCTGTCTTCATAAAAAAAGTTTGGTCAAAAGACTGTGGATATCATATTAGCTTTTATTTGTTCATGCATTTCGAAAAGTAAATTCTGAAACATGTGATTAATTCTATATTGAGTGGAATTCCCTTTTTGAAGAACAACTAACTTTAAGTCATGCTGATTATGACCAATTATTCACAATTTTTTAACAATAACAATTCCCATGCTTTTCACTTGGAAGATTAAAGGAAATATTTCTTTTTTTTTTCTTTCAAGTCTTATATTTCTATGATAAAGTGATAATTCAGAATATATTTAAAAGTTCTTTTTTTAAATGAGTTCCATACATAAGGCGTTTCTAACAATAGTCTCCTTATAATTTTAATTATTTTTTGTCAAAAGAATTAAAATTTGGATAAAATTACCCTTAATGAAACCGACAGATTTGTTTAACTCTGCGCCTCAACCCGACACCTATTAACGGGTCAAGTATGTTTAGGCCTGCACCTCAAACCGACTTATATTTTTTGAACTTTCCTCGTCAGACCATTCATTGCTGGAGTATTCTTTATCAGAAAAAAAAATATTTAAGTATTTTGAACGTTTTGGAGTAATTTTAATACACAAAAAAAACTTTTGAGCATTTTTAAGTATTTTGGAATGATTTTTGATATATGAAGAAAAACTTTTAAACTTTTTGAACATTATTTGTCAAGTAGACATATTCATTAATTATGTTGTTAAATGGAATATAGTGTATCGTTTGAAGTTATTGATCTTGTTAAATAGAATTAAGTAGTTTTGTGGTTTTTAGGCATTACCTGACTAGTTTTTAGATATGACTGACTTTGGGTATTGCGTGACTAGTTTTTAAGTATTGTGTGACTAAATTTTAAGTATTATATGACTAACTTTGGGTGACTAGTTTTTAAATATTACGTGACTGGTTGATATGGTATTATGTGACTAGTTGATAGGCATTGCATGATTTGTTAGTAAGGCATTGCTTAACTAGTTAATAAGGCATTACGTGACTAGTTAGTAAAACATTATGTGACTTAGACATTGCTTAAAAATTAGTCATGTAATACCTAAAAACCAATAATGCAATATCTGAAACCAATCCAGTGATGCCTAAAAATCAGTCATGTAGTAATTAAGTTTGGCAATACTTAAAAACTAGTTTTGCAATACTTAAAAACTAATCTAATCAATTTCAACTCTTTAACTTTGAAGTTCTAAAACACTTTTTTTTTTGTTAAGCCATGAAATTGTGCATTTCATAAAAAATTAGTTACAAAACTCCATAACCCTCCAAAATAAAATAAAATATATCCCTATCGAAAGGGCCTTGGTCACTCCTCTTATACAAAAACAAAATATACTCTCTTTTCAAAAATCAAAATCCCTGGTAAACATATATAACAATCATCCCAATCCCAGATACAACAAAATCATAAACTACCATAAAACCCATCAAACATGTTTTAGTTGTTCTTTCTCCTTTAAGCTTATCATCTTAACTAATCAGATTCAACTCATCAACACAGGCATCTCCATTGTAGTACACATTTCGAAGTAAGTCATCACCAGAAACATCCAGTTACCACATTCATCATACTGCTTGCAATCACCATAGAAGATCAAAATCACTGTTTATCTCCGTTGAGAACCTCAAGATCCACCATCCAAAAAAATAAAACAAAATAAGAAAGAGCTTGATGTTATCTCTACTCTTTGGATGGCGAGATAGACAATATTTGACCAGAGAGGAAAATTGAGATTTAATTTTAAAATTTTTATCCGGATGGCGAGATAGAGAAAATAAAAACTATTTTAATTTGTCTGGGTATTATTGTTAAGTCATGGTAAAAATTAGCTAAAAATAATTAAAATTATAAAAATATCATTTTTTAATTGAGTTTATAAAAAAGGTTATTTCTCATAATTTTCTCTATATTTAATATATATTTGACTCGTGTTAAGTATTTTTAGAATTGAGTGATCGAGAGCAACAAAAGCATCGTCGAAACAAGAAAGAAAAAATGTTGAGTCAAGCGTTTCAAAGAAAGTAAACAGGTTATTTCAACTTAATATCAAATAGATAAAGAGATTTTAAGAAGTTTATAAACGTTGACGTTACATTTCTTGTCAAGTTAATTTTTTAAAGAAAAGAATAATGACCTTGAAAGAATCTCATTTTCTGTAACTGATTATATGTATCCGGAGACTAGAAGTTCGCTTTGGTCATCTTTGTTCACATTAAATTTTATTAAATTTTTGTCAGTCTCCTTAATTATGAAAGGTTGAACTGCCCCAGGGCCAGATGCAAGAGTTATTTGATAATGAATTTAATTAAGTGGGAAAGGAGTTAGACTATCTTTTCTGATGACAAGAACGAATGCTGTATCAAATAATTTAATGTACCAATTTTGCAGAAGAAAAAGTAGGAGCTTCTTATGAAGATTGAGGCAGAAGATTCATATAGAGGAAAATTATTTATTTTAAAGAAGGGGAGCAAGTTGCTGTAGATAATCTCATCCATGTCAATCCAGAGTGTTAGAAGCTTGATGGCTTAACTTCCATCTAATCCCATTTAATTACAACTAACGATGAAGAGAAAACTTCCTGTGAAATATCCCATTATTCGCAAATCCCAATTAGCATGCATTCTCTTAATTTGGTTCTTAAATTGATTAGACTCCGATTGGGTTAATGGCAATTATGCTGATCAATTTGGGTGGTTTGGATTAGACAATGTAGGGCAGGGACTTGTCTCATCATTACTGTGCCATAACTTGTCCTTTTATTTGAACATAATGGATCATGATTCACGATTTAATCCACTTTTTTGTACCAAAATATCACTATGTTCATATAGCCTTTGGATCTCCATGAGAATTAAAACACTACGAAATAATTATTCTGCGGAATTTTTTTTGAATAGATTATGATGGGCTTTTGTTGAATTTTAAATTAAATCAATTTTTAAAATTTTCCAACATGATCTCGATGGAACTATCGTGGTCGATAATCAAATGAAAAAGAATATTAACGATAAATTTGTAATTAAATATTTTATGCAGTCCCCACTGTCACTATCCAACATATAACTCAATTTATTTATGAACTTTTTTCTAGTCAAATATGCAATTCCCAATCATGGAAAGTGTGATAGTTAAAAGGAAATAGAGTGTAAAATATTGAGCCAGGCGGCAACTATCTGGAGGGATGGATTATGGGGATGGCGTCAAATGTTAGCTGTTAATGTGAACCTTTTTAAAGAAAATACAGATGATCTCTGGACTGAATTATTGCCCGTACCCTTCCCAATGGTAGTTCCAAGAAGGATCTACTGATCAGTTTGGGACAAGGTTAAGCCTGGTTTTTTCATCCTTGGTGCAATGAGACAAGGAAAAAACCTCGCTCACATATCAGAATCTTGGCAAGGAAAACATGATAGTGTTGCACGAGTGACTGATGATGAAGTTAGCCCGATGGGGTAAGGCTCTGGACCATTAAAGAAACAATCATCAACTATGGAAAGTACCCAAAAATTTGTAAAGTCATTTCATGGGTGGTCTACGTGCACTAGTTCCGGAGCTATTAGGATTTTCATTATTGCATTCCAGACCTGTTGCGTATGATAAGGTGGGGCATATGCTCCATTAAGACAAGGGTTCCCTACAAAGCTTACTCTGTTGTTTTGTTTCTCTTGTCGTTTTGGCAGGCGCGGTGTATGATCAATTCAGACAAAGCAAATGCCATGATAGAAAAGAAAGTATTGTAGTATCGTAAGAGTGATAAGTTTGGGTTGAAAACAGTGACGGAGATATAGTATTTCGCGTTTGAAGGGTGAGGAGTTAAAAATAATATTTATGAAATATTTATAATAGAAGTTTAATGTTTGATAAAAATATAAAGCAATTTAAATGAAAAAAAATTCATATGAAAATTATATAAATAAATTTTGAAAATTATTTAAAAGAATCAATTTTAATAATTTAGTTAAAAGAATTAACTAGTATAATCATCAATAATTTAATAATGATAATAATCTCAATTTCTAAATAAATTTAATAATAAATAATAACAAATATCTCAATGGGAAGTAATATCTTAAAAAATTTCAAGGCTATCCATAAACAATTCAATGAGAAAGCAATTCTCTAAAATTAATTGCAAAATTTAAATACAATATCAATAAATAATTCAATAAAAAAGTAATTTCAAATAAAAGACTTAATTGTTCACAAAAATTTAAGTAAAAAAACACAAAAATGTGTAGGAAAGCAATCAGTCAATCTCTAAATAATAAAGATGCTTAATCAAAACCTTATATTGTTGCTTTCAACAAAAAATGGCTAAGACAATAAATCTTAAATCAAAATCACAAATAGAAATTATTAAATAAAAAAAATTTAAACTTGAATATATTAAAAATAAAATAAGTAAATAAACCAAACTTATCAATTATTATGGTATGAAATTTAAATTACTAATTAGAGGTTTTCTAAAAATACTAGCAAGCAAAAAAATAAAAAAATATATATTTACAGTATTTGATAAAAAGAAAAAAAAATGATGGTTGTGAAGTTTTGAAAAAATGGGGTTTGGGAATAATTTTATTACAATAGGTTTTACTTTAGTCTTGTTAAAATTAACTGTTGAAATAATTGTTATGGACATCTCACCTAATAAAAAATTATTATGGAGATAAAATTATAAAATTTTTAAAAAATAAAACTATGTTCAAAAATTTTTAAATTTTTTGTAGAGGATGCAATTATAAGATTTTAAAAATATAAAATTAAATTATAAAAAATGTAAAATTGTTTTTAAGGGGAGGGGTGGGGGTGCTACAAGCTAAGTCATAATGGTCTCTTATGTGGGTAGAAGGGTAGAAAATGAAAATGAATGGTGGGGGATTCAACAGTTTGACCAGGAAAGCTTATCCTCCTCCAGCTCTATGGCTCAAGCTGGAAAGTTTTGTTTACTTATCAACTACTCTTGCAATTGTTTACATCAAGCATGCCCTCTTAGATATTGGTACTTTCTTTCTATCTTAACCACTCAAGCAAGCAGTGAATTGAGGGTAGAGAAATGGAAAATGGATGTCCAATGCTTGAAAACCTTGGTCCTGGAAACCCGTTAACATTTCATTTTCGCATATTGATTAACATGTAGAACAAACAAGACAAAACAGGACGACGATCAACATGAAGCATCGCATTCGCAAGACAGTCGAGGACCCTATTCTTAGTGAGAAAAATATGCGCAGAGCCCCAATCATCCTGTCTCTCTCTCTCCCAATACAGGTTGTAATTTTGAAGGGAAGTTAGAAGGAAAAGGAAAAGGAAGTTTATTGCTTAGTTGACCCGTTGGTTAATAGGAAATCTGGAATCAGAGCCACAGAGAGGCTTGCTGGGAGGACCCACTGGCATGTGCCCTCATGTGTCTGGTTGTGATGAATAGTTATCAGAAAAAAGTATATCCCCGTTCTTGCTTTTGTCCTATCCTCCCTTCTAAACCTTCTTCAAATGATGATTAGTGTTAGATTTTAGTAATAATAATCAAATGCGTCACAATGTTTAACTAAGTCTTTTTATTTGTAGATTATATAAGTTAGTAGTAAAAAAGCAAAATGGGAAGTGGTTACTATTTATACATGTGTGCTTGGGTTGCATCAGATGCCCTCTTTCCTTCCTAACATAACCCACATGCTTGCTTTCTACGGCTGCTTGAAAGCAGTTTGACAATCTGTTTATGCTTACAAACATACATATTTTATGCAGATCCTATCACATTAGTAAGATTTCCATTGGCCAATTGATTTAATTAAGCCGTTTCCTAAGCAATCAAGATTTTTCAATGTGTTGTGTTCAATGAACTGAACGGAAGAGAGAACGACCCTCTGAAATAAACAAATGAAATTGATAGATAGTAGGTTTAAGTGTGAAACTAGTGACAAAACTATGGCAGATAGGCCAGGTCAGGGTTAAGAGATGGTTGGGTGGAGATGACATATCAATATGAGCTAACCTAAGGGTCGGGTACTTTGGTCTTTGTTATTGACTAATTGTGGGTAGTGATATTTTCTTAAAGCTACAGGGAAAGGTAGGGGGGAAACAAAAGTAAAAAAGAAAGAAAAAGAAAAAGAAAAGCAACCATGTGAAATTCAAAGGACTTCCGGAGGGCCCTAAGACAACATTCATGTGAAGTACACTGTACATGGTTGCAGCCAACCATTTTCTCAAACAAATAAATGAGTTGAAAGATCGGAAATGTTTCAAGTTTTCCATATGGAGCAGTAGGAAATTGTTTATTACCAATACATTAGGTAGAGAAATTTTCAAGCCTGAATTCACTATAGTAGAAATTGACATGAGAATAGGGCCAAACCCAAAGATGATCTCTCCAACTCCAAGCATACATTTATTCAATGTGCCACAAGGGTAACAAATTAGCTGAACTGTAATTGCTTTATGCCATGGACCCAGGCTTCTTTAATTCTTTTTCTTTATGATTATGCATTTTTTTTAAACCAGAATTCATGAAAGAATCATATAAGCCCCCTACACCAATATGTTATATGCCAATCACTCAAAATTCTTCTATGCCTACAACTAGGACTCTAGCTGTCATGGAAAGAGATATCAACATTGAGAATGATGCTCATCATAACAACTTGCTTAGCTCCTATTCCGTTATCTCTACCACCGTCACCTCCTCCTCTACATCCACTTCCTCTTCCACTTCTTCCTCCTCCACGGCATTCTCGGTTTCGGGTTCCAATAAAAGCAAGAAAACTTCAAAAAACAGTGTAGCTCCGAAAGGGTCAAAGAGAGCTGGAGATTTGGAAAATGATAGTGAAAGCAACAAGAAAAGACACAGGAGTTTTGATGATGATGATGGCAGCAAGCATCCGACGTACCGTGGAGTACGAATTCGAAGCTGGGGCAAATGGGTGTCTGAAATCCGAGAACCAAGGAAGAAATCAAGAATATGGCTTGGAACATACCCTACAGCTGAAATGGCTGCTCGAGCCCATGATGTAGCCGCACTGGCCATCAAAGGCCCGTCGGCTTACCTTAATTTCCCTGAATTGGTGAAGGAACTTCCTCGGCCTGCCAGTACGTCTCCCAAGGACATCCAAGCTGCGGCTTCGCAAGCAGCCGCCGCAACATTTCTCGAGACAAGGCGATGCAACATTGAAGCCGAGGCCGAAGCTGAGGCTGAAGTTGGACCAAGCCAAGAAGAACTTCCTGTTTCACATTTGTCGCAAACTTCAGCCTCAGACAACGTACAAGAATCATCAAGTTCACCCTCTATCGATGACGACGACACCTTGTTTGATCTGCCTGATCTCATGATTGATGCCACGGATCGAAGCGATGGATTTTGCTCTTATTCTTCAACATGGCAAATATGTGCAGTCGATGCTGGGTTCCGGCTTGAGGAGCCATTCTCCTGGGAGTACTACTAGCTAGCTATAGGAAAGAGAGATCAGTTTCAGTACATGGAATCTTCTTCATGGTCAAGAGTTCTAACTTTCAAAATTCTTCATCTATCCACACAATAATCCCACTGCATTCCCTGAGCAGCAGGAAACCCAATCAGGAAAACTCGCTTCTGAATTCGGTGGTTTCTTTTCTACTTTGGTTCAGAGAGTTACAAATTAATGGCAGTGGCAACGTTCTCAGCTTGTCTACAATCTCCACTGTAAAATATGAGCACCAGAGATATATAAACAATAAATAGCGAGTTGCTTCTTTGTTGAGTGTAATTCGTGTTAACCATACTTCACTCCAACTTTTGTTTTTGTATTTTTGCCTCGCAAAAACAAGAAATTGTTCTTTACTTTTTCTTCCTAAAGGTTCACATGAATTTAATTCAGTGCCATTAACTCTAACAAGCTAGCTAGTATCCACCTTGCTATATTTAGATACTTCATTTTAATGGAACTTTAGACTCAATAGACACTAAGGTAATTACCATGGAAAAAAAGAAGAAGAAAGAGATACCCTTCTATATCTAAAGGTTCAGAAAAAAAAAAAAAAAAAGACCCAAAGGATGAAATCCATCATATGGTGAATGATTAATTTCATTGCAAAAGTTCTTTCTCTCGAAGGGCTGGGTGATCTGCAGTGCCCAAAATTGATGGTGATGGAGGAATAGTTCTGCTTTTGCCCAACAGCACTTTTCCTACCATCATTTGGCAAAAGGAAGACTAACAGAGATTCCCAAAGCTGTGTGGACAACACATGTACGAGAACCCGAACAAGGTGACAGCATAATCTAACTACAGTTATTTCCCAAGTTCAAAAAAGAAAATTATCCTTCATTTTTTGCCAAACCCTGTTATGTGGCAAAATACAGGGGCCCCTGCCCCCAATAAATTTGGTTCAAAGGCCATTGTTTCTTAGTGCCAAGTGACATCACCATCATTATCTACTCATTTTGCTATTCCCCATCATAAATTTAGCCACACTTCTCGTAGCCATTGGCCAGAGATTTCAGAAAGAGACAATATATATGGTAATGCAATTTCCATATATATTAAGAGACCCACAAGTACCTAATCATTTGAGTTAAATTTTTGTCTTAAGGAGGAATTATTGGGGAACTTGGTTTTGGGTTCCATTATCTGTACTAACCCTCAAAGAATGCAACGAAGGAAAAGACAAGGATAAGATGTTAACCATCTTGGAATCTTACGACTATCGAGGGGGAGAATTATTAGCTTGCTAATAATGTCGCATTTTTCTTAAGTAGCCCAAAGACCCTAATTTAATCATTTGAAAGGGACACTGGAAACGTTTCACACTCCTAAAACCAAAAACAAATGTAGGTAAGTTTCTTGTTTAACTACATTAATATAGAAAAGTTTCATCCCTAATATTGTCAGAAAGATTCTCCTATCACACCAATTTTTTCTTTTTAATGGCATATGTGCATGTTGTGAGAGTTTGGACATTATGTTATAATGGTTTCTCTGATTGTCAGTCAGATCTTAGAAAAGGGTAATGTTAACATCTTTTCAATGGTAAAAAAACCTTTTGAAGGTGACAAAATAAAAGGTTTCACACATAATCTCTAATTTCATTAAAGATAGTTCGATTTCTAAATAAACTTTTAAAATATTCAAATTACGAATTTTGTAAAATGTAAGTTGAGAAACAAACTCGAAGTAAAGAAAGAACTCTTATTTACATTATTAGAATCGAAATTAAAAAAAAATCTAGAAAAATGAATGCTCAATATAATAATTAGGCATGACTAAAGAAAGGTTGAAGATATATATACAAAACAAAATATTGTCCATTAAACGACAGTCTTGCACATCTTATACTATATTACTAAAGAAAATGTCACAAGTTTGAATTTCTCTTCCTAACTTATTATAAAATTAACTTTCCAAAAAAAGAAAAAACTTATTGTAAACCATAAAAAAAAATTGGTTGGGACATCAATTTGGTAGCTCAGGCTAGCTCTCTATTTTGCAATATCTTATGATCTTTAGGCCTAGAAAGCGAAATGACTAGTATAAATTCTTGTAGGAGAGATGTCATGTAGGAGAAAGAAAAAAACATTCTCATCTTTGAGATCTTTCAAGGTTGATGAAGGCAAGCAATATTTTTCAATTATTATGATATCGAATAAGATATCAATGTTGCATGAAATATAATTAGATTGTTTTATTGACTAAATGATTGATTCATGATCTTTATCGTCTTAAATCACAAATATCTTGTACTAGTATTCTTCTTCTTTGGACCGTATAGGTTGGCACCATCATAGTATATAGTTAGTAACATGTTATGTCACCAAGAAATCTAGGTGATTCACTTTAAGTCGGGATCTGCCATGGCAGTTTGTCGTGAAAATGATAAGAATGAAACATGGAACATGAAGGGAAAATGACAGGAAGAATCTAATGATAAGAGAGTTATGGATTTGATCTAACAAATATGAATAATTAATTATAATGATTAGGGTCTAATTGAGATGGTAAACTTAGGTCGGGGGTACAAACTATAAATGGGATACAAGTGGAAGAAAAAGGCAAAGAATCCAATCTGATTTTCTTCCAAGTTGGAAAGGATAGTGCATCAAATTCTTTTTCCATAAAATCAATGAGATACTTGCATGCTTTTGATGTAATGTTCCCTTTTTCCTAGCATATATAAATATATATAAGAGAGAGAGAGAGAAGCTTTGGATATCATATTAACTAATTAAAGATTAATGCTGACTAGCACGAGGATTTTTTTAGCTCTTGTTTATGGAATTCATCATGGAAACTCACATGCATGCCCAATGAAGCTCGATTTAGCATACGGTCATTTTGGTCTCTGATTTTTCTTGCAGAACTTTATATCAACCAACGTTCAAGATCTTGGCACCCTTTTGATAAATAAGCATGAATATATTATATTCATGCTAAATGGGATTACGTATAATGTACCATCACCTCATTTCTATGTTAGACTATTTTCTTTATTAAACCAAGCATTATATTAAAAATCATAAACGATATATAAATTCGACTACCCTTTTGATAAATAAGCATGAATATATTATATTCATGCTAAATGGGATTACGTATAATGTACCATCACCTCATTTCTATGTTAGACTATTTTCTTTATTAAACCAAGCATTATATTAAAAATCATAAACGATATATAAATTCGACTAATTATATTACACTAATAACAATATCAAAATTTCCATACCAAAAAAAAAATAGTCATGCTACACCGTATGACCGATATTAACTTCCTAACAAATCTATATATCATTTGTATTTTCAAGATCATATATAGTAATATTTGATAGATTAAGTTATGGTTTTATATGAATTTATATGTATAATATCGTATTGAGTTTATAGTAGGGTCATCCGTAATTAAAATTTATGTAACATATTGTCAACTAATATACAGGAAAGGCATCGTTTAAAAAGAAGTGAACAAATTTTCTTTCTTTTCCTACTTTTTTATTTATACTTCTTGGGCAATTTTTTGAGTGAAAAGTGATATATAGTACAACTTTTAGCAAATGGATGGAACAGAACAAATCTTTCCTACTCATGAGGCATTCACACACCATGGAGACTCGTAAGCTACTAACATGCATTTGCTGCTCCAAAGTAACAGATGCGATACGTGTTTGTGTCCGTGTGTATAACGTTTAAGAGAGAAAAGAGAAAGCATGTGCATGAACTGAAATGACAGAGTGGAATAACAAGATTGACATGGATGGGCCAGAAACTCAGTTTCTTTCTTTGCATCCAAAGTGAAAAGAAACAAACATAACATTTTTTTTCTTTCATAAAGGCTGTTCATCTCATGCTGCATGCAGAAAGATGTGTCAAGGGGCTACCCTTTTACGAGGCTACTGGGGATCCTCTTTTCATTTTGTTTGTTCTTTTGCAGAAAGCAAACAAGAGACTTACAAGAATCCAATGTGTTTTTCTTAGTGTAATGCATATGGTAGAAGCATTTTGTCTAGGTGAGATGAGAGTAAACGAAACGTGCAAATTCTGCTTAAAACAAGTAGTATCAGAAAGTAAAGCCAAATATAGACCTGATAGTCCTATAAATCAACCAATTGGGTCAACTCAAATCACAGTTTCGATGGGGTTTCCAAGGGTCCGGAGAGGCATGATTCTGCCGAGTCGGACCGTTTGGACGCAAACATTTGGTGGATGCTTGGGTCTACAAGAAAATACTGTTGCTTCCTTTTGGGAGACACGTACTCAAATATTTTGACTTTCTCCAGTATTTCTCTCGGATGAGGAATGGAGACATATACAACAATTTTCGTCAGGCTTTTAAAAACCCACCAACTCATCGACATTATTAGAAAATCGTTGAGCAAATTTTCTCCAAAACATTTATTGAGGCTTTCTCATGTCTAATTAATGCAAACTCCCAACAGATTCCGGGTGAGGCAAAGGCTGACTCAACTTTCAAGCCTGGCTCTCACAAAACCTTCGCCGGAAAGACAGTAGAGGAGACGCCCAACATAACAAGAGACTATGATCATTGGTAAGGAGATGTCGATCAGCACCATGAAAACCAGCCGAAATTGATTCTCAGCAACTGAAAATTTCTGGGGTGTAGCCTTGGGAATCTCCCATTCATCGTGATCTTACTTAGTTAGCCAACCATATCCAAAGTTACTGTCATATGTACTATGCAGCTATTGATTAGGACTTGAAAGGAAATTGTATTGTGTATTAATTCAGTGGCCATTGGACCGGAAGTTAATGTCATTGCTAAACAAATGTACTAACTATAATTATATTTCTGTTTCTTTCTTACAAGAGAACATAGCGATATTTAATACCCGTTGTTCTCAGTACGGGCAATGCACTATGTACTAACCCTATCTCTCTGTACTGCTCTTCATACACACGCAAGAAAAATTTGGACCATCAAAAAGAAGAAAAGAAACAAAAGGACCATGCACCGACAAAGCCAGTGCCTTTTACGGAAGAGAGCCTTGGGGTTCAGCTTGCACGTATCAAAACTATATACCACCATTTTGTGTTTAACTACTTCTCTTCTTTTTATTTTCTTTTTTACTATCTATCCTTAAGCCTTTTGAGTTCCATGCCCTATGAATTAATCCATCAAATAAAAAATTAAAACAAGGCTGCAATACATAGATATACCATGATTCGCTTATACGTATGGAGGACATATTACCTAAATTATATGTATATTTATAAGTGATGGATGCTAACATAATTCTTTTCGTAAGTAGATAATTAGTTACATGAAAATCATATGAAAACCATAATTATCATGATATTGATCAAAATCTAAAGATGATCATATAATTCCGTCTTGATTCATGAATTCAATTCTTCATAATAAATAGAGAAACAATTTTATTTGATGTTTATATGAGCAACAATAATTTATTAATTTTATTTATAAATTGATAGTACTAATAATTCATGTTAAAATAATTATATAAAATATTTAACTACAGTTATTATAAAATATTATATTATCTAATTAGATTATAAATAATATTTAGTTAGAGTTATGTTTACGATACTATTAATTAGTTAAAGTTAAATTGTGGATTAAATTAATATTTTGGTACTAATTATTAATAATATAAAATTTGGGGTTTGTGACAAAGTGGTCGGGATCCTCCAGCCTACACTTGCGACCAAAAAATCAAATCAGAGCGGTCCGTGCGTGGACTTGAACGTGGGGCAATCGCGGCGAGCTCAAGAATTAGGGAGAAGTCGTATGCCACATTGTATCCTTTTTTCCACCGCAGACGCGCAACACAAGGCAACTCATCCAAGAACCATTTTTTCTTCTCTCTCTACCTCGTCCGTACGGATCTCTAGGGTATCAATCTTCGTCTTCGATTGAATCGCTTAGGGTTTTCTCTTCTCTGATCCGATTTTTTCAATTGAATTAGAAAAAATATTTCGAAAAAAGATGGTGCTTTCTCAGAGGATTCACGAAGCATTCAAAGGAACAGTGGAGAGAATCACAGGGCATCGAACCGTCTCTGCTTTTAAAGAGAAAGGAGTTTTGAGCGTCTCCGAGTTCATCCTCGCTGGCGATAATCTCGTCTCCAAATGCCCTACCTGGTCTTGGTATTGTCTTTTCCATGCTTTAATTTTAAAAAAAAAAATTGTAACTTTGTTTTGGTAGTTCAATAATTATATGAATCAATTTTAATTTTTATACTTTATATTGATATTTATGTGTTAATTTATTGTAAAAATTTTGATTTTGGCTGCTTAATTCGAAGTATAATAATTAAGTAAGTGGATTCTTATTGAACGTTAGGGAATCAGGGGAGCCAAGCAAGAGGAAGTCCTATTTACCGCCTGAAAAGCAATACTTGATTACTAGAAATGGTAAACTCACCACCATATTACTAGAATTTCGTTTCTTGTTGTCTCATTTGTTTTTCCTTGAATTGCATATCATGATTAGTAGTAAGATTATTTGTTGATTTTGTGGTCAGTGCCTTGTCTAAGGAGGGCCGCATCGGTGGAAGAAGAATATGAAGCTGCTGGAGGAGAGGTTCTTCTTGATAATGAAGACAATGATGGTTGGTTGGCAACTCATGGGAAACCTAAAGGTATCTTATTCCTGCTGAGATAGTATTGATTTTGAATTTAAGTTGAAAATTCGGACACTATACAACTTTCTCTTTTTGACAGATAGAAGTGATGTGGAGGAAAACTTGCCCTCAATGGAGACTTTAGAAATCAGGCACAATGAGACTGTAAGATCAATACCTTCTTATTTTGGTGGTGAAGATGAAGAAGATATACCCGATATGGCTGATTTTGAAGAAGCTGACAATGTTATTGAGACTGATGCTGTAAGTTTTAAGAATCTCATTTGATATTAGAAATTCAAATACTAGCTGGTTCTCATTGCATTATTATTATTATTATTAATATTTTCATTTTGTAGCCAATTTGTGGATATTGGCCTTCTATAAGAGTGAATGCTTATCAACTCACTTCCTGTCCTACCTCAAGACAGCATCATCTAGGTTAAATTTAGGGGGATAAAAAAGAGAAGAAAGGAAATATTGTGATAAGGTGCTCAGATTTAGGATCATTTTTGTTTCATTGCTTAGCAAACCTCTCCTGATGCATATGGATTCTAATTTCTACTGAACACTTGCATGGTTGAAATATTATTGTACTGATTTGATGTGTCTGATCAATGCAGGCAACTCTACAGTCAACGTACCTTGTTGCTCAAGAGCCTGATGATGACAATATTTTAAGGACCCGAACTTATGATGTCAGCATCACGTAAGACAATTCTGGTGCCTGCGAATGTGATTATCTGTTTTCATTCTAGAACATGTCCACTTGAGCATTTCTTAAGTTGATTTCAAGCCTACAATTTATGATGGCTCAAACGTGCCTAACATTATCTTATTTGCAGGTATGACAAATACTATCAAACTCCTCGTGTGTGGCTTACTGGGTATGACGAGGTAGGTGTCAGAGACTAGGGGCATTTTCTTGTACTGGTTTTTATCTTATATTTATTTATGCAAAAAATGGAACTAACCAATTTTGCTTTGAATCACTATCATTCTCTGCATTTGGTCATAGTCGAGGATGCTTTTACAACCAGAGCTAGTGCTGGAGGATGTTAGTCAGGACCATGCACATAAAACGGTTTGTAGTACTTACCAATTCATAGTTTTCTATTTTGTTCATTTTTAATGGGCAGGAATAAGGATTTCGGTTTCCCAATGTGATTTTTTTATCTGCAATTGCTCCGAAATGAGCCATTTCGTGGTTTTGAACCGAGTGTTGTCAAAATTCCACAAGTTGAGCACTGCAACATAAGAGGTGCTTTACTTAATATATGTGGCAACTAACCTGTTGCATGATGTTTCTATGCTGATTATCTCGATGCAGGTTACTATTGAGGACCATCCCCACTTACCTGGGAAGCATGCATCTGTACATCCATGCAGACATGGGGCTGTGATGAAAAAGATCATTGATGTGCTGATGTCACGTGGAGTAGAACCTGAAGTTGATAAGTAGAACTTTTGCTCCCTCATTTTACTACTAAATAGTTGTGAATTGACCCTTTTAGTTATTGAGGAAACATGTGTTCAAGTGTGATGACTCTTTGGTGCAATTGTCCTTTATAATGACTGTCATTGTGTTCTTACCTTCATAAAACTGCTGTATGCATGTTCTTTTTGAGTCCATGATTGCAACTAATTTAATTGTTACAGTGAACCATTTGCTCGTTATAGTTTTTTACCATGGTGTGACCCTTTTGCTCATAAATTTCTGTTTCCTGCTTAATTATTGCAGATATCTTTTCTTATTCTTGAAATTTGTAGCCTCTGTAATTCCAACGATTGAGTATGACTACACCATGGACTTTGATCTTGGCAGCTCCAGCACTTAATTAAAGGTAACTATCAATAACAGAAGGTTTTCATGGCTTTAGATCCAATTAACTAGTCAATATTATCATATGCAGTCTGCGTTGAGTTCTGATGGTTAGCAACACCTTCATTTTCTTTTGGTTTGGGTCTATGAACCACATGAAACCTGCTCTATAAGTGTATTATTCAAGAAAGAAAGTATAATCCATGACCACACACTTTTGGTTCTGCATGGTCAAATTCTTGAAACTCTGTTGCGTTTATCATAACCCAAAATAGTATCTTTATAAAGTATCTTCATGCTTCTACTATTTACGTTCTCTGTTATGATACTTGACTGAATTCCAGCTATAGATTGACAATTTGGAAAGCTGCCTCATAATCCGGTATACCTATATGATGAAGCTTCTGCTTGTAATGTTTCCGATGCTTCCTAGTGTACCCAGCGCTTGACTACCACCCTCCCATGCGTGCACTGCTTGGCCGAATTACAGATAATTCTGAAGCAATTGCTGTTGCTTCCTATGTTTGTTCATAAGTCACAACCTACTCTGGGACTCAGGATTGGCACACTTGTAAATACCACCTGTGTTATAAGACTGTATTCTGGAACTTTTTCAATATTGTTGGTTGGAATGTTGTCGGTGCCACAAATATTATTTGGTATAGTAAGTTGATTGGATGTGGCAAAATTTAATTTGGAATTGTGAATTAGTAAGTACGAAGTACTACTAAATGTTTAATGCCAGATAAACAAATACTTAAATGTTCGAGTTTGAACCATTTACATTCGTGCAGATACTCATGCTTACAATATTACCAAGAAGAGCAAGTCTCAGATTTTTCAATCGACAGGGACCAAACTGGCACACTGAAATTGGTAACGTTCGGGACCATAACGTATTTTACCCCACGACATGATCTTATAGAACATCAAACAACCACCTTCATTGTTAGTCCATACACCATCGCATCATCCAATCAAACAATTTGAGTCATTGCCAAGCCACGCCAAAACCCATTTAATTTCCAAGAAAAAGGATCATGATGCGACTACAGAGGTTCTCTTTCTCCAAAATGAATACAAGAACAATGAAAATATAAAATATTTTTGTTTCAACAAGAAACTGTCATATCCTACCATAAAAAAATGGTGAGATTTGGGCAAAAAAAGAACTAAAAATATTAAGAGCATGGTATATTAGAATCTGTGCAGCTGAAAATTGGAATAATGCTCCAAATGATTTGATGACGGAAAAGAAAACCTTGGATTAGTCCCAATGCCAACTTTCAAAGCAGTGCTCCAGTGATCTTGTTTTTTCTCTTTTTTGAGGCATAGCATCATAAATTTTATATCATTATACGATCAAGCAATGGCCATGGCTCTGGATATAGAATTTGACCAATTCTGACTAATCTGCAAATAACAAATCGAAAGATTCCAGTGGTCCCAAGCAGTTAAATGAAGAGGCAAACATCATAGATACAATAAAATTAAGTCAAATCAACAACTTGGAACCAAACAAGCAAATCTGGGAGGGATTTGCACTGACCAAATGGACAGGAACCCTCTAATTCCTGTCTAGACTCTTTTCTAACAACTCACTACTATAACAATACATGGGAACCTGTGAGTGTGCTCATATGTCAGGTCTTGTTGCCTGCACGCGAGATGCTGGCTGAATCTCATGGACGAGCAGTTCTAATGGGAGCTCCAACATCAGATATAAACAGGTTTAACATCATTAGCACCAAAGCTTGCTGCACACACTGGACACTTGCGATGACGACTCTCAGTAATTTTTTGTACACAAGGGTTGCAGAAAAGGTGGTAGCATTTCGTAATGACTACCTGAAAAAGGGACAAACAATGTCTAAGCAAAAATTAAGAGAATAGATGGATACGAACAGTCAAAGTAACAACATTGTCTGAAACAGAACTGAACAAGCTGTAGTAAACAAACAATGTTAAAGAGTCTTAATTCTTCAAAGAACCCATATAACGGGTACAAAATCAAAATCCATTCGTGATGCAATCAAATGGTACAGAAGCACCCTATCGAATTGTCAGTGCAAAATAGAATTAAAGCTCAAGCCAAAGGACCCAGTAGAATAATTGCCACTTTAAATACTAAATCAGAATCACATATACCTCCTTCGGTCTGTCAAGACAGATACTGCACTTCAGTATTTCCTTGTACTCTCTCAGTTCTTGTTGAAGCCTTTCTACAATTGATGATCCTTCTGTCTCAGCTCGAAGATGTAACACTTTCCTTTTCACCACTCCCAATTCCTCCTCAAGTCTTCTCTTGTTGAACCTAATAGATGAAAAAAGAGAAGAGAGACTGACATGAATTCACCTTATGCACTTAGAACAAACAAAATCATAAGAAATACTGATAATTCTATTACCTTTCCCTCTCTATTTCTATCTGCAACTCCGTCAAAGCCACTCGACCTTTCTCAATCTTAGATTGTGAATCCTCCAGTGACTCCCTTGCCTGATGAGAAGATCTTCTCACATCTGACAATCGCTTTTGTGTATTTTCCAATGAAACTGAGTTTTGAAATCTTTCTTCAGCAAGTTTCTGGGCCTGGTCAGAGAAGAACCTCAGCTGCAAAAGGAATCACTCAAGACTCAAAAACCATATCCATATTATTTAGAGAGGGATTATTTCGTAGCACAAAATAAGTTATGCATGCCTGATCCTCAATTCTTGCTGCTTTCATAACATAGAAATCAAGGGATGCACTGGCTTGCTGAATCTCCTTCTCCATGGTATGTTTCTCCAAGAGTAGAGCATCTTGCAGTTGTTTAGCCTTCACACCTTCCAAAACAAGCTGAAACAGGACCATTGAAGCGACATGATCAAGTTCTAAGAGCAAATATACAAGTATCTCTACAGTAGACCATGGATGCTCTATGAGTAGAAATCCTCTACATGAATGCAAGAGTAAAGCAACTGCACAATGAACCTAGAAGTCCGAAGTCCTTTAGAGGAATAGATTGTAAAGAAACCATAGATATTAAGTGCTCTTCAAGTTTCAAAATAAGCACATTCTTCTGCCCTCATAATAAAATTAAAAGTCCAGGATCACCATTCCTTTGTAAATGTCAGGAACATTTAGAACAATTACACCCTCTGCCCTGAATATATTTGGAGAATTGGGCTATTCAGAAATCGCAATCAGTGCCCTAACTACATGAGATCTCAAAAATATTTTACATAAATGAATAAGAACACACACATTATCACAAGTCCAATCAAACAGATATCTCAGCAAGGAGAATATCTATGCATCCTCACACGAATAATTAGCAACCAAATAGAGACTTAAGCACAGAACTCAACTTCCCATGTTGCATCTCCCTATGTCTAACTCAAGGGAAATGCCTCCCTTTTAATTGTTTATTTTCCATGGTTGGTATGAAAGTATAAGTTTCTATTCCAAGGTCAAACATCTTTTCCAATTTGTTATGCAGGTATATATGATCATACAAAGAACTGTTCACTTCTAAATACATGGCAGGTAGCTGGTGATAAGCAGACCGTATGAGGTTTTAATAAAAGCACAAAGAGTTAAACAAAATCAATCAAGCCTAGTAAGCATAAAGACACAGTTATAAATTATCAAGAGCCATCACTTTAGAGCAGAAAGCAGCAAAAAAAATACTGTAAAATGACACTGGGACACAAACTTTTCAATAGGAATCTGACGAACATAAACCAAACCAATTGATTACCTTGATGTTATAGTCATCTCTCTCTGTAATTTGCTGCAATAGCTGCTGGTTTTGTGTTTGCATGTCATCATATGCCTGTCCAATTGACTGAGGAAAAACCAAACTAACAGCCTCAATAAAACGTCATCATAGTACAAAAGGCAGAGCCAAGACTAAATGCCAATAAACTAACCTCTATTTCGGATAAGTAAGCCTCATTTTCTTCATTTTTTGATTTCAAAGAATCAGAAAGCCTAGCCTTATCCCTGAAATAACAATATATTTAATGTTTTTTCACATGCTTCTCATAAACCCATGGTTTGATAAATAAAGGAAGAAACTACAGAAAGACCAGGTATAGCATCTGCAGTTCACTTATTTCTTTGCTAATAAAAATTTCAGCAGAATACTGTAAAATGAAGCCATCTAGGCACATTAAATAAAATTTGGCCTAATGCAGAAATGACAATTGCAGTTTTGCTGGAAAGGTCTATGCAACATCCTCTTTCCAAACTAAAAGAAAAGGGATATTAAATTATGAAATTTAAACTGGTGATGTTCAAATAGTGGCATTCTCAGGTCCAGTCGTATCATATAACTAGAAAGGACAAACCAAGTTTTACCTCTTAGAAGCTTCCAGTTTCTGTCGCAAGTCAGCAATTTCAGCTTCTGCTGCAGCCAACCTTTGTTGGGATCTTGCTTCAGCTTCATTAGCCGTCTTAACACGTAATTCCAAATTTTGCTCATCAAGAGAGGACTTCAAACTTTGAACATGAGCCCATGCCTTGTATTCTGAATCTCTCGCTTCCAAAACATCTCTGCAATCACAGAGGAAGAAAACTATGAATCTGGAACTAAACATCAGATAGAACCATATTAAGGGTTGCCAGATCAGCATTTCAACTCATAACATGACATAACCAGAAGTAGCATATCATAACCAGATAACATAAAATTGTCAACAATCTCTTACACCTTAGATGACAAAAATTTACTGTAAAACACAAGAGTTACAGTACAGAAGAAACAGACACTTATTCTAACTCCAAGCACTAAAGGGGAAAATTTTTTTGACAAAGATCTACAACTATCTTATTTGCAAAGAAGGACATCAAAATTGAACCAGCCCTTCCTTACTAGCTCTAACTATCCTATTCTTCTAGTTCAGGAAGATAGCTGTCCTCATCATCTAAGGGTCCGCACCTACAACAGTTAGACAACATTTGCTTCCCGAAGACACAGGTATATGTACCGGGGATTGAAAACTCTGCTCTTAAGGGCGCTTAAGTCGTGAACAGATCAACAAGATCTTATACCAAGGCAAGCCTCCCCAAGATCAAAAAATGGTATAGATTAGTTGCTATAAAGCTCAGATAAAGAGGATACAACTTCACCCTGGTTCATGACTAGATCGATCAGTAGCAAAAGAGTCAAAGGTTTGCAGGGCAGGATATCACATCCTTTGACTAAAAACTTGTGAAGAGTGAACTAGATTATCCCCTTACTATGGTAGGTCAAAAATACCTCTTCAGTAAAATGATAGCTAAAATGGTAAAGGCTTTTTTCAGTATATCCAGTTGAGACCTTTCGAAATGCTCTTCCTTTGAAAGGAATTGAATGCTGGCTAACACTAAATGAAATCAAATAACTGATTGTGTCATGGAAGGGAAAACTTCTAAATGAGTTGGAACCAGCCTCTTCCTCTATGTATATGGTCTAATGATCACAATGTGCAATAATCCTTTTACAATCGATCACATCAATTATCTATGGAAAATAAAGTCAACTTCAATGTGTTACATTATATGTGACTTCACTGCCGAAGATAATAAAAGAAAGCATCCTGTATAGATAACCTGACCTTGAATCAGTAAATTCACGTCTATACATCTCCAATATCAGCTTCAACTCCACATCACTGTCCTTCAAATCCTGGACCTGTAAAAAAAATCAAAATATAAACAAATAGATTTTCCTTCT